CATAAAGTATCAATAATAATAAATTTCAATCTAAAAATGACGCAGAGCACCGGTAAAAAAGAATCTATGAAGACCTGAGTTGAGTTCAGTGGCCCCAATGACTAGTGCTTCAGGTCGAACTATGACGCGCCGAACATCACAACGGTCATCGATCGCGTTCTTATTATCAAATAGTCGTCAAACACTTATGCTTTATAAGACAAACTACGGAGACGCATGTGCATAAACGCATCTAATAACATTTTTCTGCCCGCAACGTCTGAATGGAAGTAGGCCCATGGCCTGTTGCCGATTCTGGAACTTTTCGTGACTTGATTCACAAGGGATCCGGCCTTTGGAACCCGATCTTTCCATAGCTGACGATTGATTGAGATAACTGCTGGACTTATTGCCTGGTCCGTAATTTGCTAGGAATTTTAAGACTGAACATATGCACCTGCATAGCTTCGTCTGGACTTATTGCCTGGTCCGTAATTTGCTAGGCATTTTAAGACTGAACATATATATGCTCCTGCATAGCTTCGTCTAGTCTGTTTGCAGTGGGTGGCAACTGCCAGCTATGATACGCGAAACTTGCCAGCTATGATACGCCCGTTTGACTCCGTCAAACGGGCGTTTATAGCGGCAGGAATAAATTATAGTGGCTGTACTATCAAAACTTATTTAATTACACATAGTGGCCGAATTTCCGTTTCTGATTGGAGGGTTTTGCTTGTGAGGCAGTCAGTGATTGGCTGACGGAGTTACGAACTCGTTACGACTTTTGATAGTACGTCCCCAGGTTATATAATAAATGGGGCGTATAGGTATATATTTTCGTTGGAGTCTACCTCTGCGACAATCAAAATGCAAGATACGTCGCAGATCTGTAACGTCTAACGCAGAGTGTTAGACGTTACAGATGCTCACTGGCACATGAATGCATCTGAACCTACTAGCCTAAATGATGCAGCACGCATGCAATTCTAACGTCTATTCTTTAACTCAAATTAATAGCAGTTTCATCGAGTTATTTCAATTTGAACTTTCGTTCATAATAAAGTACTAAATTTCTCGGAAAAATTTCTGTGACATAGATGATGCTTAACGTTTCAGACTATGGAAACGAGCATTTCTATGAACACACGAAATATATAGTCTTTTCGGTTGCTCAGCGGTTGCCTAGAGACATGAACCGACTTCTCGAACCGCTAAATCTGAGTGACTAAAAAAATAAAAATAAAATATGAAGCGGCGGGCGACCGCAGCGTAACCTGGATCAACGTAGCGCTGAAGGGGAAATCATTCATGGATCGTGTGCAAAAATGGACTTGATATGAGGTCAACTACATGGTACGAGGAGAGGCTGACAAAACCATTCATGGATCGTGTGCAGAAATAGACTTGATACGAGGTCAACTACATGGTACGAGGAGAGGCTGACAAAACCATTCACAGATCTTGTGCAGGAATGGACTTGATATAAGGTCAGCTGGATGGTACGAGGAGAGGCTGACAAAACCATTCANCGCAGCGTAACCTGGATCAACGTAGCGCTGAAGGGGAAATCATTCATGGATCGTGTGCAGAAATGGACTTGATACGAGGTCAGCTGGATGGTACGAGGAGAGGCTGACAAAACCATTCACAGATCGTGTGTAGAAATGGACTTGACATGAGGTCAGCAGGATGGTACGAGGAGAGGCTGACAAAACCCTTCACGGATCGTGTGCAGAAATGGACTTGATATGAGGTCAGCTACATGGTACGAGGAGAGGCTGACAAAATCATTCACAGATCGTGTGCAGAAATGGACTTGAAATGAGGTCAGCTACATGGTACGAGGAGAGACTGACAAAACCATTCACGGATCGTGTGCAGAAATGGAATTGATATGAGGTCAGCTGGATGGTACGAGGAGAGGCTAACAAAAAACGAGTCAATTGTTCCGCAGTTTTCGTTCAATGCTGAGTATGTTATCTGTACCTAAATGAGCTTGGCCTGTCTTGTGCGATGAGATAAACTTTGCAACTTAAGTGCATGCTTATCAGTTAGAAATAGATCGATAGTTCTGTCCTAAATGAAAACATTAAGCGTCACTGCAAAAAAAAAGTAATAAACCGTGCCACGGAAGAACTAACTAATTTTAGTTGTGATCTTCACGAATTTGACTGCACTAGCATCTTCTTTGGCTTCAGTTGGCTTCCTAAGCGATTTCTTTTTTCAAAAACGAAAGAAATTTGGACCAATCATCCCTTATAGTCTAATCCAAGACCGTGGGAAATCTAAATTAAAAAAAAACTTACAATGGTGTTACTCAACTTAGTATAGAATCAAGTAAGTACCGGAATTTTGCAAAGAAGATTAATACTGAATATATTGAAAGTTTTAATTCCCCTTAGAAAATGACGACGTTAATCAAACGTCTGATAAAAACGTTTAAAAAACGCAACTTCTTCAAAGCGCCACAGCAGATAGGCGAAATAACTGCCTATTTTTCAAACAATTAATTATTTTGCCAAATCCAAGCGATGCGCGAAAAACAGTATAACTGCCCATTTTTTAAACAATTAATTATTTTGCCAAATCCAAACGCCTAAAATGTTCGTACGTAGAGCTTCCTTCTTGTTGAAGTATGTGCGCTATTGCTTTAACACGCGCTTTTGTAAGCTCATACGTTCGGCTATTTTCGTCAGATGTAAACCACATAACACATTAATATTCAAAATAAGGTCATTTCTATGCCTAAAAAAATGGGTTTAGTCTTGAATCAAAACACGTTTGACTGAAATTTTTTTCTTCTTAGAGAAAAAGAAAATATTGCAACACGTTTATTTTTTTACTCACCACAGACTCGGAGCCATCCTTCCACCCGACAAGGGAACTCGCGTTGTCGCTTCCACATCCTGCCTCGGAACATCGTTCGTAACTTCAAATTTCCGACTTCATGCGGACACGAATTGCAAATGCGAGTTAAGCTCCATAGGCTAACAAATCAATGTACAGAACAGTGAACACGTATCGCGTGTCTCATCGAGACGTTTGCTTTAAACAATTTATTTCAGTATGAAGACGCGTAGAGGTCAGAAATTCGGTGCCGGTTACGGGAATGCATGCATTTTGCTACTATTATTCACCACCACCGGGACACGAGTTCGGGTCACGGACTCGTGGAAAACAATATTTTGAGATTGTTTAAATAAAAAGGCAAAAGAAATTGAATTCTTGAATATGTCCCCAATATTTATGACTATATATACGTAGATATTATATAATAAACGATCATTACAATGAACCATTCAAGAAATCCTGGTAATCCAGCGGTAGTCGTAACAACGGTCACTGAATTTTCACACCCGCCTCACGCTCACCACCACACACAGGAACGTCGCGAGTGACACTAACTAATCTCGGTTCGGAACTGAAATGCCAGACTCGTAGATGCCCTGTACGCATGCGCTGAACGCAGCAGTACATTTCTGTTGAGTTTTTGTCAATGATTACCAATGTATACCCTCACAATTTGGATCATAACAATAATAAGACAGGAAGGGATGTCCGAGAAATATTTTGGACGTACTGTGCAAAATTGTTCCAAATGTCGTGTAGGATCGAATATATAAGAATGTAAATAATCATTCATGAGCTAGCTAATTGTAAAATTCAATGTAGAGAGTGAAAAATATCTGCAATAAACTCTATTTACAACATATATTATTCCAATATGCTATACCAAATGTAACTTTCGTAAAGGTAATTACCTCAATTTCACTTCAAACTCCATGTATTTAAAAAGTCGTGCCAGAATTTTTTTGCCATCTTTCAGCATAAATTACGGACAAGTCTATTCTATTCGCTTGCACTATCCCTGAACCCGTCGGACATTTTTGCTGCCGGTTTCTCGCCGATCTTCAACACATGCTTTCAAATTAATATTTTATACACAGAGACGGTGTTATGCTCGGGGCTGGAGAAATGAGTCCAACTCTTAAATTAGATTGATCTATGTGCATGGAACCAGTTTGGCACTTGAATTACGAGTAAACCGTTACAGGAGAGGCGAGCAGGATCTAGTGAACTCTGCAGATGCGATATATGTTGGTGATCAGCTGTTGTACCTAAAATTGAACATATCTATTTTTTAATTCATATAGAATTCTTTATTCTCTCAGTGCTTCTATCACGAGCCTGCTCAATATTAGTTCAAATGATTTGTGTCATCGAACTTCATGCTTCTATGTCGTGCTCTTGTCTAAGTATTACCACACATGACATGGTCGATCATGATACGTCAAGTCATGCAATTTTTTGAACGATTTTACCAATTCCTATTTTGTGTCAAATTACGTCCCAGACCACAAATGTGCGTTTTGTTCACCTACACCTCATGTTATGTTGTTACTATAAATTTTTACCAACCCGCCAAGGATCGATAATGTTTCATATGTCAGTACTAGAAGACTTTGAAACATCAATGGCTCATGGTTTCTGTTATATTGTAAGAGAAACAACTCAGCAGCACGATGGGTAACAAAGTGGTAATTCCTTGATATATATTTTATGGTTTAGTTTTCCACAGTGAGCATTCTTTTTTATAATATGACGATTTAATGAATTTTAGTCTGCTTGTACAAGGTCATATTTGCCTATCGTCAATACTTAACAACCTGTGGCAAACTTTCTGGAGAAGTGTCGATTCAGTGGCAAACTTTCGAATTGCGAACAGAATTTTCGACCTGTGGAAAAACCCGAGATTTTATTCGCTTTCATAACCTTAACCTTTTTTCATTTCTTATACTTTTTCAATGCAAATACTATTCAATTCCTAAGAAATGGCACAATTTCTCATGAAACTTGTTGGCACTCAAATTAATTCATATGAACATGGTAACTCTCATTGAAACCAACGAAATCCGCAGTCCGCGCAATAACAGAAGAACGCCGCGAAATTTAATCACTTTTGCTGTCGAAAATCATCTGTTGACCCCGATCTGTCTCGGTCAAACGGTCACCTGCCCACTCAGTCCTCAGACCTCAGTGACGCTCATTTGTGAGCCTGCTGCATGTAAGGCCGCCAGCTACCTGCACTCTGCAGCGAAGGAAAGTGTTTTTCGGAAAATGTGAGAAACGTTTTGAAAAAAGTTAGCCTCAGTTAGGTGCTAATAAATTTTTGCATCTGATCAAGCAAAATTTGAGGTCGGCATTGGCAAGGTAAAAATTTAAGGTTGGCTACTATCAGTCTATGACTATCATTTATGAATAACAATGAATTCATGGGTACCATGGCATAAGTATAGTTAAGTACTAAGTAGGTATAACTAGAAAATTGAGTAGGTGCCAAGTAAAGTAGGAAGTAGCCAACCTGCCCAAGCAGCCCAACCATAAATCAGACCAATATGTCTGTGAAGTGAATCTGGCTGATGCCTGATTTTACTAGTCACATTGCATTTACTTATAGCCTTTTCATAATTTCTCATTTTTTCAGTAAAAGATAAGTAAAGTAGCCTATTTTTAAGTTTTAACCAGGGTTTTTGAGAATAGTTTTTCTAGAGGATAAAAACTACTCTTAGCTATTCAATAAAATTTAGGTACCCTTAACCAGGGCTACTCGTGCGTACTCAAACTTGGGACTGGTGGGGCTACTCGGGACAGTCCTCCGACACGGCGTAAAACTGTTATAGTAGCAAAACTAATTGGAATATTGCAAAACTAAATGTAGTGGCGTAAATGTTGACATTTTTCCTATCTATGTAGTACTATAAAAGAAGTTGAAAAATACTACATTTACTAGCTTTGAAAAATTCCTGAAAAAAAGGTGAAAAATGCTATTTGAAAAGTTACTTCTGCTAAGGTCTGTAGCAAAAAAATATTTGCCCTATTAAAAAATTTTACTTACATAAAAGATGCACCCAGGTGTTGGCTTGAAAACGTAATTGACGGAATTGTCCTTTCTCATTCCAAAAAATAATGGCAGCCATTTCCGCATGACGGGGCTACTTGGGTCTTGGGACACTCCCCTGGGGCTATTTGGGACACCTCCAAAAATGCATTTACAGTAGAACCTCAGTTAGCAAAGGCTCCAGACTCCAGTTAGGAAAAAATTGATTAAAAACTTAGAATATTTATTACATTTACCTCGCTCAGAAAAAAAATTTTCACTTATCAAAAAATTAATGCATCATTTGTCATCACAAAATTGTGCACAAAAGGTCATATATAGAATTTTGCAGGACTTCGCTCAGAAAAAAAATTTCACTTTTCAAAAAATTAGTGCATCATCGGTCATCACAAAATTGCGCATGGAATGTCATATAGAATTGTGCAACAGGCATCATAGAATGAAAAGTAATTTACCTCAACTATGATTTATTTCTCCAAAACATACGATGTTTGTTACTAAAACATCCCTTTCTGTTTCAGGTATGTTTTTCACAATTTTTTTTTATAGTAAATTCACTTAATGTAATTAAAATGGTGTGAAATTACAAGCCATCCTGTAAGCTTACAGATAAAGAAAAAATGCTATAAGGCTGCTGATAAGAAGCTTGCAGTGGACAAGGTTGTTGTAAATGCTCAATGGCATGTTCATGGATACGGTAATATCACATCATTAATACAATGATGTCACATCAATAATACGGTAAAGTCGGTAATTAATGTATATGGTAATATCATATCAATAAAGGAAACAAAAACAAGTAAAAATCACTGAAAATGTCATTTATTCTACCTCTACATCATCTATAATGAAAGAGGAGGACTTCAGAGTACTGTTAGTAATGGATGAGTATGCTCTGCATGCTTCAAATGTTTTAAAATGAAGTTTCATTCCAAGTGTCCCGAGTAGCCCCATTCGACGGGGCTACTCGGGACACTCTTTTTTGCTTCTGGCACCTTACAAATAGCATATGGAATTTTTTTGAAGAAGCCATGCGATAGCCCTAGCAAAGAGCTATAAAATGAGCCTAAATTTGTTTATGAAATGTTTCATGGTAAGAAGTTATGAATGAAAAACATTCAAAAGTGTCCCGAGTAGCCCCGGTTGATGGTAGTGATTTTGTATATCGGAATTTGGAGCTCAAAAGTAATCATATTAGTCATGTATTAAATAAGCTCAACACAAGGAACAATTAAACAGGCAATAACTAATCCTGTCATTCATGTGGGAATCTTCAATCTTACAAGTTACAATTCTTGCTAGTACCTACTCTAATATTTAGAAAGCTCTAGACTCTAGTTTGTGTAGGCTGTAGCCAGAGGCCCAGAGCTTAGAATATAAATATTATTCATGACTGAACACTGAATTACTGAAAAAGTGACCAAACTAATTATTATAATAATTTTTTATCTATATATTTAATATTTCCACAGTAAAAGCAGAATGAGGCGATCATCTGCACCATCTCAGCTGGCTAAGAAACCAAGATTTTTACCTCCTATCAAAAATCAGACCACATCTTCTGAAACCAGAAAGGATACAAAGATTTCAACTGTTTTAGGTCAGTAAATTTTATAGAAAAAAATTATTTGATTACATCAAGAATTAGCTAATGAATTTATTATATAAATAATAATAGGTTCCTTAATGAAATGAAGATTACACATCTCTCTCTACTACCTGTTACCTAGTATGGAATTTTTATACTTATTACTGAAATCTTGACTCTTGAGGCTCTAATATGAACTAATTTTCCTATATTTGCCACAATGCAGCTAAATTGTGCACTCTTGCAGTCCTGTTCAAATTACATAGGCAAGAATTCATCTAGCCAGAATCTTGACGGTTTGAAACCTTGAGGAGTTGAGGGTTTAAAATTGGTGGGAGAGCTCTACTACTCTAGTAATTTCTAGAAGGTAGATATATTCCATGCCTATTGGAATATAGGCATAGCCTTTTGAACATAACTTAGCACATACTGCTGACTCTACCATAGCTGTGCCTGTAAGTCTCTAACAATTGTGGACCTACCAGAGTCAGGTCCTATTGCTACTTAAACCAAAATAGGCATGAATTGAAGATAATATCAGATCAAATCTATGAACAGATCACAAAACGAGAGTGAGTTTTTATCAACCAAACTATCTGAGACTAATTGAAATTTTAATTAATACAAATAAATTATTATTTTCTCTTCAGCAAGGCAGTTAAACTTTTTAATGTGTGCCCAGGAAATATTGTGGTGAATACAAAAGCAGTATCTAGATATTTATTTTTTCTGGTAATTTTAATACCATTTGGTAATAGTATTGGTTGCAGTGTAAATATCAAGCTTGGCAGCTCTAGACAATTGGATGGAAATGTGGAGCTCTGTTCATGAAAAATGAAAATGACTGTTTGCTAAAAAAGTTAATTTTTCAGATAATCCAAGCCATCTCTCAACATCACAAAAGAAGGAAGAAAATAGTGCTGCAGTTTCTTCAACTCGTCCTACAGAAGACATCCTTGCACTTTTTTCATTCAAACCTACACCTGAATTGATCAACACTTCTTCACCTGAGTCTTCTTACCAGACAGTAGACACAGAGAATGTATATAGTAGCAGCAACTCTCCTGGCATCAGGATTCCATCACAAATTGAACATAGTTCCCATCAAATTGCTGATTCCAGTGAAAGTGTAGGCCTTGGGAATCAAATAGCTCAGGACCATTTTACTGCACACAAACCAGTCATTACACCATTTAGGCAGAGAAACCATGATGAGGACAATCAACAAAGAGACTCTACTATACATGCTCCAGAGGAAAGGTAACTTTCTTTACCAAGTTTTTTTTAGAAATAATTAATATACGTTTAAAAAGTACTTTTTAAAGACAACACTTCTAAAGAATCCAGTGTCTCCAATGTTAAAGATGTATAATGAATTTCTCATTTTGTTTTCAAATATTAAAAAAATTAATTTTTCAATTTTTTTTATAGGTATATACAATTTTTTTTTCTCGAAATTATTTATTCTGTCAATTGATTCAAGCATTGCTTGTCAAACATCAGTTATAAGATTTGTAGCAGACAAAATTATTTTTTCAGTTTTTTTTATTGAAAAAAAATTTATTTTTAAAAATTATTTATTTTGTCATTTGATTCATGCATTGTCTCCAACTTTACCCAAGTGTGCAAAATTTCAGATCGATAGGATAAGTAGAAGTGTGGTTAATTTCGATTATAAGATTTGTAGCAGACAGACAAACAAGAAGTGAAGTTAAAGAGAAGTGTTGTAATATACTGAAACAGTGACTCATAAAAATATAGTATGAAATATGGCTTTAGAATGTGCTAATTTTGTTGTTCAACAGGTACTTCTCAGTGGTGTGGTGCAAGCGCTCTACCCGCAAACACAAGAAGTGGGAAGGAGATGCTGTTCTCATTGTTAAAACTAGATCCGTGTTACTCAAGGTTAAATTGTTAACATTTGGATGTCAGCTGTTTGCGTGTGTAAACAATTGGTCTCTCAATTGCGTGGTATATAATTTGTGATACTTAGCTTTATTTGCTCCAATCTGTTTCTCAATTGCATAGTATATTAATATAGATATACCATAGTATAATACAGATATAATAATAGTCTAGATATAGTACTATTTATGGTAATTAGTTTTTTCCTTGCCCCACAAAGATATTATGTGCATAATGTATCTAAATTATTGAAATTGCTGCAGGATATGGAGGGTAAACTGATCGGACAGTCAAGTGGATATAAAATAGCAGATTTGGCTTCACTTGAAGATGGCAATACTTTACCCATCGGCGGGAAGGAAATAGAGGCAAGTACAGCGCTTTACTGTAAATAATATTTATTTTGATTACTTATGAAAAATTTCTGAGCTAGATGGAAGGTTATATTACGTGCCATCACTGAGATTGATGCTCAGCCTAGATTTGCTGCTGTACGTGTTCATGTTGCTTTATATTTTTCCATTGATAATGTATTCATTTCCAAAGAAGTATCTGTGCCTCAGATTAATTTGTATGTTAGACTTTTGCGGCATCCCTAACGCTTCTTATTTATCTAAATTTTTCCTCTGTATTTATAGATATAATTGATAATTTCCAAGTTCTTCACAATCAGATCCAAGGAAAGATCAGTACCTCAGACTACTGCAGTGGTCGCTGCTTCCTCTCAAGTGACGTAATTACTCCTACTGAAGTCGCTCTCCCGCCGGCGGCTCCCCGACCAAAGCCCAAGCCCTTCAAGCTGCCCACTGTCCACAATGTAGTCAGATCTGTCCCGCCAGCGTCTGGTCCTCGTGATAATCAACCTCTTTACTCAACGCATCACGACCACTCCTTGATATTCCCACGCCCAACCGCAAGGCAACAGGTAAAGCATCTCACGATCAGGATTGAGTAAATAAAAGACGCTTTTCTGGTCTCGGTATAGAACCCTGTATAAATAATAGATTGTTAAAAGTTACATAGATACAAGTACATAGAAAACGATTATAAACAGTATAAATCAAATTAGCTATTAAACAAAGTAGTTAAAACAGGATGACTGCTGTAACACTTAAGTACTTACTCTAATAAGAGGTTCTAGTGCAATGTATCAAAAATACTAAAAGCTCGATTGAAGTTGGCTTTTGTCGTATTCAGCTGTGGTTACGTTCAGATATAAACAAATCTTAATATTACAATCAAATCTAATTCTAAATTTCTAAATATTTTTATTATATTAATACAAAATCTTAAATCTTAAACTGTACCGCTACACAGGCATGTGCTTCATTAATGCTCACAGTATTTTGATTTGAGTATATTAAACTCAACACATCAAGACCACAGCCTAATATTCATACGACCAACAGCACAACAACAGACGCTACTGACGCTTTCTTTGTCCTTCCAGTATTTTGGTTTACTAAGCCTGACGCATCCTAACCACTAGATAATATTCTTGCAATCCTCCTGCGTGACAATAGTCATGTTTGTTTTGTTGATCAAGTATTTTCTTTGTTTGTTTACAGTTCCTCTATTGGAACATTAATCATCGTCAATGCTATTTGTATGTAAAGGCTAGGAGCCGTACCAACATAACTTGCAAAAGTGCACGTACCAGCCGCTTTCTCATCTGTGATTGGTGGGGCTAGCTTGAAAAAGTGTCAGATATTGGCTGACAAAGTCACGAACTCTTAACTATTTTTGATGACACGGCCCATCAGTGTACAATGAGTTGTGTAAGACGTCAGTGTGCAAAGAGTTGTGTAAGACGTTAGTGTACAAAGAGTTGTGTAAGAGATATGATGCAGGACCTCCCATTTCATTCATGTTTTTTTGTGCAGCTGCGTGAGGGGTGCGCCAGTGTCAGGGACGTGGTACTGGATCCTCATTTGAGCTGCAAGTTACGGCCGCACCAGAGGGAAGGCGTCATCTTCCTATACCAATGCGTCTTGGGCCACTCCACCATTTCCGTGAGACTTTCTCTCCAACCATAATAAACACTGACGCAATTTGATACTCGTCATCTTCCTATACCAATGGTAGTAATACTCGTCATCTTCCTATACCAATGCGTCTTGGGCCACTCCACCATTTCGGTGAGACTTTCACTTCAACCATAATAAACACTGACGCAATTTTCATGTGAGAACTACGTAAAATTTGATTTCATAATCCCGTATTGTATCATCTTAGAAGATAAAAATCCCCTTCATGACGTTATTGCTGATCTTTGATCTTTTATCTATTTTATTTTTTTGTTGTGTTTTTAGACTCTACGAGCTACGCCGTTTTTCGTGCACAGAAGAAGTGCAGTTTAGATAATATCTCTTGACGTTTTTCTCCTCGAAAAGATCTCGCAACTAACTCACTTTTCTCACTTATACTCTACATTTTACGCTTTTTCTCTCGCACATAGCAGAATGAAATTAACTTAATTTCTCTGTACAGGGTGATTAACGGAAATTTCCTGTTTTGTATTTCGTGCCAAGCAGCCAGGTGTTGTAGGAAAAGATCTAGGATTATTTCATTTGAAAGGCACTGTCATAAAGTTTTGTGTCCCGCCTGGTCAGTTGCTATTTGCGTTGGACAAGTGAGCATCGTACGTTTGCTGTCGAGGCTAACTGTTCTAATGGCCGTTCCGTTATCACTACTACCACCAACGAGCGTTCCGTAATCGGTTCCATATTCGGTTCTGTATTCGTTCTTCAGGTCGGGTTCCTGATCGGAAATCGATTGTTACGTGGGTGAACACATTTAGGGCAAGTGGACGTATGAATGCAAGAGGTTCTGGAGGTCTGCGGACTGCCACAACACCCCAAAACGTAGAAAGAGTTAGAGAAACGTTTCTGCGTTCTCCACACCATGCAGCACGTTAAAACGAAGATATTCTGGGGATTTCAAATACTCTTCATCCCTACAAATTGTCTGTGGCACAAGTACTCAGCGAAAACGATTTTATTTTTCGCCAAAATGCATGTGAAGCGCTTTTTGAGAACTTGTCTCACGATGCAGTCGTTTTCTTCAGTCATGAGTCTCACTTCTACATTTCTGGCAGCGTAAACGAACAAATGGGGTTATATTTGTCTTAAAGGAGAGGTTATCTTAAATCATTAAATCCTACCTCAGTTGAAGAACATCATAGGCCAAGCCATCGCCAACATACCCGTCAATATGCTTCAGTGAGTTGGACGGAACTTCAAAAATCAACTATCAGAATGCATTAACAACGGGGCCGTCATTAGTCCAATGTTATCTTGAACACGTTGACTTCGAAGTGGTAACATATGCGTGCCTACCACGAAATAAATTTATCCAGGTCGTAGTGGTACATAATTCAGGGTTGACAAACTTGTCCTAAAAAACGCCAAGTCCGCAAACAAAATAGGCCAAAAAATGCCTATAACTCAATATATAATATTATACATGTAAGTTCCAATGTAAAAATTCCATTTATTATTTTTTTTAATTTAATTAGGAAGTACTACCCCATCATAAACTTTACTGGACAACGCAATTAAAAAAAACTTTTACCGGAAAAAGATGTCTGGCTACCCTGTTTCATAATAGTACAAAAATTGAAATAATAATACATACAAGATGAAGCAATCGGAGTCAACCTGTTAAAACTTAGTGATACAAAAATTTAAGTATTTTTTTCAATAAAATTCATATTGTAATGATATCTATACTAGTTTTTTTTATTGAGCTTTCAAATCAGGAAGTTTCCGTGAATCACCCTGTAAGATTTCTTCCTCACAATCCCTTTAAACCCCTAAGCAACGAACTCGGCATCTCGCGGTTCATTACAGGGCGATGGTAGTGAGCGCGGCTGCATTCTGGCCGACGACATGGGGCTTGGCAAGACACTGCAGTGCATCGCGCTGGTCTGGACGCTTCTCAAACAGGCATGGTTCACTTCATATGCTGATTGACCCTTCTATGTTATAGCGTAATTTCACATTTTGATTTGTGTTCGTCTTTTAAACACTGTGCATTCCAATGAACTATTGAATTTTAATAGTTCATATGCTGATGTTATCTTCTGGGTTAAAGCGTAATTTCCTATTTTGATTTATGTTCGTCTTTTAAACACTGTGCATTCCAACGAACTATTGAATTTTAACAGTTCAAATGCTGATTTATTCTTCTATGTTATAGCGTAGTAATTTCACATTTTGATTGGTGTTCATCTTTCGAGTACTGTAGAGTCCAGAAAACTATAGACTTTCAATAAAATTAGTTACCAGCGGATTTGAATCTTCTTAAATCATTAAATTTGAAATTTTCATAGAAGACAATATTTCATGAACTTTCTACATTTTTATTTGATTAAATCTTTAAAAAAATCAACATTTTTTCCACACTCTGCAGAACATGAACATGGTACCAGGATATATATATATTTTTTGTATTTCAGAACCCATGGGCGGTTGGTGGTGTGATCAACAGAGCGCTGGTGGTGGCTCCTGTCTCTTATACACATCTAGATGTGTATAAGAGACAGCTGCAGATGCGATATATGTTGGTGATCAGCTGTTGTACCTAAAATTGAACATATCTATTTTTTAATTCATATAGAATTCTTTATTCTCTCAGTGCTTCTATCATGAGCCTGCTCAATATTCGTTCAAATTTATTTGTGTCATCAAGCTTCATGCTTCTATATAGGTTCTATTTCGTGCTCTTGACTATAAGTGTTACCACATATGTCATGGTCGATCATGACACCTCAAGTCATGCAATTTGTTAAACGATTTTACCAATTCTTATTTTGTGTCATATTACGTCGTAGACCTTATATGTTCGTTTTGTTCGCCCACTGCTCATGTTATGCTGATTCTATAAATTCTTACAGCCCACCACGGATCGATAATTTTTCATAAGTCTGTACTAGTAAAAGACTTCGAAACATCAGTGACTAATTGCTTTTGTTATATCTTATATCGTAATAGACACAACGCATCTACACGATGAGCGAAGTTGCAATTCCTTGATATCTATTTTGGTGGTTTAGTTCTCAATAATAAGCATTCTTCTTAACAATGTGCAAATTTAATGAAGTTTATTTTGCTTATACAAGGTCACACATGACTATCGTCAATACCAAACAACCTGTGGTCAACTTTCCAATTGCGACCAGAATTTTCGACCCGTGAAAAAAAACGAGATTTTATTAGCCAGTTGTTTCATAACCTTAACATTTTTTGTGTTTCATTTATGATACTTCACAAGTTTTACATTTCCTCATGAAACTTGGTAGCACACAAAGTGTGCTACCATGGTCATGGAATTTCCACCAAAGAAATCCGCAGTCGGCGCAATAACAAAAGAACACCGCGAAATTTGAATCACTTTTGCTGTCGAAAATAATCTGATTACCGTTAGACGGTCACCAGCGGCCAGCCCACACTGCGACACTCACTTGTGAGCAGTGATCCACTGAGCGTCTGAGCCTGCTGTATGCAAGGCTGTCAGCCTGCCATTGCTAGCTGCATCGAAGGAAAGTGTTTCTTGGAAAATGTGAGAAACGTTCTGAACTTCTGATAAAAGATAGGTGTGGTTGTGTTGATAAATTTTTGCATCAAGCAAAATTTGAGATTGGCAAGGCAACAACCAAAAGTCCCAATCCCTGCAGGCCTGCAACTGCAAGGGAGCCTCCATCATTTATGAATTCATGCCCATGGTCCCACTCCCATTACGGTCCCATAACATATGGCCATAGCCCTGGTAGCCCATAAGTGTAGTTTGTCTACTTAGTAAGTTAGTAGTAGTACTAACTACTAAGCCTAACTTGACTGGGAGATTGGGTAGTGGCCAACCATGCATATATCAGAGTCAGACCAAAATGTCTGTGAATCTGGCTGATTTCACCCATTCCTAGGCTAGTAAAGGCCAATAGCCTCTTCAGTCTTCATAATTTCTCAATTTCTGGTAAAAAATATAAAAATTTGCATAATTTCCCCTGGATTCCTGACAATCATTCTAGATTAAAAAACTGCTATTATTCAATAAAATTTAGTGATTTTGTATGTGGGAATGACAGTGGGAGCTCAAAAGAAAAGTCACAAATATAAATTTAATACCTAGGCTCATTGTGAGCAACAGTTAATTTGAATTAAACAGACAATACCTATTACCTATACCTAATAGGCTAATAGGTCATCTTGTCATTCTTGTGGGAATCTTGCAATTGTTGGCATTGTTGCCACTCTAATATTTATAAAGCTCTAGTTTATGTAGCCAGATATTAGAATATACCTAGATATTCTTCATGTTTTGCATGACTGAACAGTAAACACTGAACTAACTTTAATAATTATTTATTATTTATATATTTCCACAGTAAAAGCAGAATGAGGCGGTCATCTGCACCATCTCAGCTGGCTAAGAAACCAAGATTTTTACCTCCTCTCAAGAATCAGATCACTTCTTCTGAAATCAGAAAGGATACAAAGATTTCAACTGTTTTAGGTCAGTAAATTTTATAGAAAAAAATTATTTGCTTAGGGTAAACGCGGTATATTCCGACATCGTAGGTAATTCTGTCACCTCTCCAGCTTTTCCTTTATATTAAGCCTGTCTCTTATACACATCTAGATGTGTATAAGAGACAGTAGTAATAGTAGGTTGGCTTTGATTCATTGTAGAGCACTGCTAAATGCTACATGTATATTCCATTAGTGTCATTGTCTGAAAATTTATCAAATTGATAATAAAACCAATGGATAATAACNAGGATATGTACGGTGTCAAAGTCACACGTAAAAATATATCAAATTATATTGAATTTGGTTCCTAAAAGTGAGTAAGTCGAAGCTAACAGCGTACTGTAAAATTAAGAGGAGCGTCTGGGTAAAAAAAACTTTTATTCATCTATCTTCCCATATATCTTTCGATTTGTTTTGCAAATATCTAGAGATTTTATAGATAATTTTTTCCAATATTCGCAAATTAAAATATACATTTTCTCCCTCACCTCGTTATTTCCTTATGGTTTGGCAATTTATAATTCAAACAGTATATAAATCAGACAAAAAGGCTTCTAGAGTCGCTATATCTTCTCTATACGAATCGAATGATATGTCTCTCACAACTCTCAATGCTTTTGGTCGAAAGATGTGTATAAGAGACAGATGTATTCATTTCCAAAGAAGTAATTAGTCTGTGCCTCAGACTAATTTGCAAGATTGACTTTTTTGGCATCATCCTTAAGGCTTCTTATTTATCTAAATTTCCCCATGTATTTATACATGTAATTTATAATTTAAATTTTCTTCGCGATCAGATCCAAGGAAAGATCAGTACCTCAGACTACTGCAGTGGTCGCTGCTTCCTCTCAAGTGACGTAATTACTCCTACTGAAGTCGCTCTCCCGCCGGCGGCTCCCCGACCAAAGCCCAAGCCCTTCAAGCTGCCCACTGTCCACAATGTAGTCAGATCTGTCCCGCCAGCGTCTGGTCCTCGTGATAATCAACCTCTTTACTCTACGCATCACGACCACTCCTTGATATTCCCACGCCCAACCCCAAGGCAACAGGCATGTGCTTCATTAATGCTCACAGTATTTTGATTTGAGTATATTAAACTCGACACGTCAAGACCACTGCCTAATATTCATACGACCAACAGCACAACAACAGACGCTACTGACGCTTTCATTGTCCTTCCAGTATTTTGGTTAACTAAGCCTGACGCATATCTACCACTAAATTATATTCTCACGACCTTCCCATCTGCAAGACAATAGTTATTTTTCTTGATCAAGTATTTTCGTTGTTTGTTTACAGTTCCTCTATAGAAACATTAATTATCGTCTATGCTATTTGTATGTGAAGGCCAGGTGCCGTAGCTTCATAACTTGCTGATGTGCATGTAGCAGCCGCTTTCTCATCTGTGATTGGTGGGGCTAACTGACGAAGTTACAACCCCTTAACTGTTTTTGATAGCTCTGCCCTTGGTACCGAGTTGCCGTCAGTTTACACAGAGTTGTATAAGACGTCAGTGTACAAAGAGTTGTGTAGGACGTCAGTGTACAAAGAGTTGTGTAAAACGTCAGTGTACAAAGAGTTGTGTAGGACGTCAGTTTACAAAGAGTTGTGTAGGACGTCAGTGTACAAAGAGTTGTGTAGGACGTCAGTATACAAAGAGTTGTGTAGGACGTCAGTGTATACAAAGAGTTCTGTAAGGCGTCAGTGTACAAAGAGTTGTGTAAGAGATCTGATGCAAGACCTCATGACATCTCAACGATAAAATAACTAATAATGAAACAAATAAATTATCCATTAATAATAATATCTCTACTACTTTTCCTCCCATTTCATTCATGTTTATTTGTGCAGCTGCGTGAGGGGTGCGCCAGTGTAAGGGACGTGGTCCTGGACCCTCATTTGAGCTGCAAATTACGGCCACATCAGAGGGAAGGCGTCATCTTCCTATACCAATGCGTCCTGGGCCACTCCACCATTTCGGTGAGACTCTTCCTCCAACCATAATGAACACTGACGCAATTTAATACTCGTCATCTTCCTATACCAATGGTAGTAATACTCGTCATCTTCCTATACCAATGGTAGTAATACTCGTCATCTTCCTATACCAATGGTAGTAATACTCGTCATCTTCCTATACCAATGCGTCTTGGGCCACTCAACCATTTCGGTGAGACTCACTCCAACCATAATAAACACTGACGCAATTTTCATATGAGAACTGCGTAAAATTTTATTTCGTAATCCCGTATTGTATCATCTTAGAACATAAAAATCCCATTCATGACGTTATTGCTAATCTTATATTTTTTTATCTATTTTTTTGTGTTTTATACTCCACAAGCTACGCCGTTTTTCGTGCACAAATAATGTGAAAAGATCTAGCAACTCACTCACTTTTCTCACTTATACTTCTCCACATGTCACGCTTTTCCTCTCGCACATATCAAATGGATTGAAATTAACTTAATTTTTCTGTTCCTGGTGATTAACAAAAATTTCCTGTTTTTTATTTCACGCCAAGCAGCCAGGTGTTGCAGGAAAAGATCTAGGATTATTTCATTTGAAAGGCAATGTCATGAAGTTTTGTGTCCCGCCTAGTCAGTTGCAATTTGCGTTGGACAAGTAAGCAGCGTACGTTTGCTGTCGAGGCGAACTTTTCTAATGGCCGTTCCGTTATCACTACTACTACCAACGAGAGTTCCGTAATCGGTTCCATATTCGGTTCCGTATTTGTTCTTCAGGTCGGGTTTCTGATCGGAAATCGATTGTTACGTGGGTGAACACATTTAGGGCAAGTGGACGTGAATGCAAGAGGTTCTGGTGGTCTGCGGACTGCCACAACACCCAAAAACGTAGAGAGCTAGACAAAAACACCGTTCAGCACGGAAAAACGCTGATATTCTGGGGATTTCGAATAGCAGTGTGGTACAAATACTCCACTAAGAACTTCAGCGAAAATGATTTCATTTTTCGTCGAAATGCATGTGAAGCGCTTATTGAGAATTTGTCTCACGACACAGTCGTTTTTTTAGTCATGAGGCTCTGTTCTACATTTCTGGCAGCATAAACGAGCAAATGGGGTTATCTTTTCTTGATGGGAGGGGCTATCTTAAATCAATTATTTACAATGGCTGTCCAAGGAGTCAAGGACCCTACCTCATTTGAAGAACATCATACGCCAAGCCATCGCCAATATACCCATCAATATGCTTCAGCAAGTTAAACGGAACTTCAAAAAATTGACTAACTGAATGCATTTACAATGGGGGCCGTCATGTGACCGATGTCATTTTTAAAACTAAGTAATACAAAAATTCAGATAATGCCTTTTCCAATTAAATTCATATCATAATAATAATGATGTTTTTACGAATTATTTTTTATTAAGCTTCCAAATTAAGAAGTTTCCTGTACGATTAGTTCCTCACAATTCCTAGTCCTAAGCAACGTACCCCGCATCTCGCGGTTCATTACAGGGCGATGGCAGTGAGCGCGGCTGCATTCTGGCCGACGACATGGGGCTTGGCAAGACACTGCAGTGCATCGCGCTTGTCTGGACGCTTCTCAAACAGGCATGGCTCACTTCATATGCTGATTTACTCTTATATGTTATAGCGTAATTTCCTATTTTGATTGGTGTTCATCTTTTAAGCACTGTGCATTCCAACGAACTATTGAATTTTAATAGTTCATATGCTGATTTTATTTTTTATGTCATGGCGTAATTTCCTATTTTAATTGGTGTTCGTCTTTTAAGCACTGTGCATTCCAACAAACTATTGAATTTTAACAGTTCAAATGCTGATTTATTCTTCTATGTTATAGCGTAATTTCACATTTTGATTGGTGTTCATCTTTCGAGTACTGTAGAGTCCAGAAAACTATAGACTTTCAATAAAATTAGTTACCAGCGGATTTGAATCTTCTTAAATCATTAAATTTGAAATTTTCATAGAAGACAATATTTCATGAACTTTCTACATTTTTATTTGATTAAATCTTTAAAAAAATCAACATTTTTTCCACACTCTGCAGAACATGAACATGGTACCAGGATATATATATATTTTTTGTATTTCAGAACCCATGGGCGGTTGGTGGTGTGATCAACAGAGCGCTGGTGGTGGCTCCCTCCAGCCTCGTCGCCAACTGGGGCAAGGAGTTCCACAAGTGGCTGGGCAGGGAACGCTTACATGTTTACGTCGTTGATAACAACAATAAAGTACGTCACTTGTGGAATAATGTATAAAATATGTCACAGCTGTGGAATAATGTATAAGTATGTCTGATGTCTCTGCTGTGGAATTATGGATAAGTACGTCACTGTTGTGGAATAATGTATGAAGTACGCTACTGTTATGGAATAATGTATGAAATATGTCACAGCTGTGGAATAATGTAAAAGTATGTCACTTGTGAAATAATTTACGGTATAAAGTACGCCACTTGTGGAATAAGGTATGAAAGACGTCACTTGTGGAATAATGTATGAAATATGTCACAGCTGTGGAATAATGTATAAGTATGTCTCTGCTGTGAAATTATGGATAAGTATGCCACTGTTGTGGACCTTAATCTACTGAGTGTAAATCTACCTGACAATTAATTTATCCGTAGACAAGGGGTTGAAATTTTGTCTAATGATGGTCACTCTAGTGAACAGGGGCCATACTTTCAAAAAAAGTTAAGAGATCGTAAGTTCAGCAGCCAATCATTGACGGCCTTTCAAGCAAAATCCACCAATCAAAGACAAGAAAATAGATCGTAAGTACTTACGTTCACTTAGCGAGTTTTGAAAGTATGGCCCCAGGCCTTCTGTTCCGAATAGTACGGTATTGACGACTTTTATTGTTTTCATGCAGACAAAGGACTACATGTAACGTAGTCATGTTCACAAAGGAAAACATGAAAAATAATATGCCTTTAAAAAGTACTTTTAAAAGACAAGACTTTCAAAGCGGCCAGTGTCTCCGATGACACATATACAATGAATTTATTATTTTACTTTTAAATTAAAAAAATGATTTTTGCCAATTTTTTAATGTTAAAAAAATGTTCATTATTTATTCTGTCAATGGAATCAAGCATTGTCTCCGATTTTAGCAAGAGTTCAAAATTTCAGATCGATTGAACAGGTAGAAGTGTTTTAAATATCGATTATAAGATTTTTAGCAGACAAACAAACAAACAAGAAGTGAAGTAAAAGACAATTGTTGTAAAAATTCATGCACAAGAAGTAGTAGAGTGCAGTACAAACATCATAGATACTTCAATATCACCTGAGGCTGCTAGCCACGTCGCGACATGTTCACAAAGAAGCACATAGAATATATTCATGCACAAGAAGTAGTAGAGTGCAGTACAAACATCATAGATACGTCGATATCACCTGAAGTTGCGAGCGACGTCGCGACATGTTCACAAAGGAGCACATAGAATAAATTCATGCACAAGAAGTAGTAGAGTGCAGTACAAACATCATAGATACGTCAGCATCACCTGAGGTTGCTAGCGACGTCGCGACATGTTCACAAAGGAGCACATAGAATATATTCATGCACAAGAAGTAGTAGAGTGCAGTACAAACATCATAGATACGTCAATATCACCTGAAGTTGCGAGCGACGTCGCGACACAAAGCGCCGCCATGTGTCAACGGAGCGACGCGCGAGGCTCGCTTCACGAATGCGACTGCTTACACCAGCCAGACGCTCCTGCATTCATGTAATACAATGTCAGTTGTGCAGTAATGATGAAAATGATCGAAACATTTCTCAACGAAGTTTCAGGTCAGCTTCAAGTTTCAGTTCAATAAATGATTGCGTACACCAGCCAGACGCTCCTGCATTCATGTAATACAATGAATGTCAGCTGTGCAGTAATGATGAAAATGATCGAAACATTTCGCAACGAAGTTTCAGGTCAGCTTCAAGTTTCAGTTCAATAAATGATTGCTTACACCAGCCAGACGCTCCTGCATTCATGTAATACAATGAATGTCAGCTGTGCAGTAATATATATATACATGATAAAAATGATCGAAACATTCCTCAACGAATTTTTAGGTCAGGTTTAAGTGAAAACCTCAAAGCAGTTTTCAGTACAATAAATGATCAGTCCAGACTATTGAGGCCTTTCTAACTTCACTAGCACACCACCCCAGAAGCCCTAATCGACGCTTCAAGTTTAGGACTTCTGAATCCTGGGTGCTTTAAATTAATACTTTTCTGGAATAATGTATGAAGTACGTCACTGTTGTGGAATAATGTATGAAATATGTCACAGCTGTGGAATAATGTATGAAGTACGTCACTGTTGTGAAATAATGTATGAAGTACGTCACTGTTGTGAAATAATGTATGAAGTACGTAACTGCTGTGGATAAATATATCCTGCAGTGGAATGGTGGATAATTATGTCACTGCTGCGGAGTGATGGATAACCCACTAGACCTCTGACGTAGAATGAACAATGAACAAAGGTTTTTTTATTGGAATTTGTTTCAATGAAATTTTATTACGTAAATTTAACGTTGTTTCGACGTCATTTGCGTAGAGGGAGAGTACGTCCCTGCTTTCTGTATTTTTTTCTTCGTCTTTATTTGCATGTTACCTTGTATTGTGAGTAGATATTAAAATTACAATGTACAATTAATTAACAATTAACATCCATGATGAGTGTTATTTTCTTTACTACTTGGAAGTTATCCTATTTTTTAAACTAGTTATGTTTTATCTCTTGCTTAAATAAAAGCATAAAATAACAAGTAAAATGCAATAAAAAGCGTAGTGGCACTGGAGGCAGCATATGTGTGTCTGCTGCTACTTTCCTCCACTGAAAGTAACATAAAAAAATATTTCATTTTGAAAGTATTCCACATTTACGGAGGAATGATCACCATTGCTGCGATCTCGGTGAAGTAAACTTCCTGCCTGTACTTCTCATGGTAGAATTTTTAATTTTATCTTAGGTTGAGGTCCATCTTGTACACCTCATCGAAGGATACCTAATTTTACCTCAGGTTGAAGTCCTGCTTGTGCTCATCATCGAAGTATTATTAATTCTACCTCAATTTGAGGACCTGCTGTTTTTCCAATCGAAGGATACCTAATTCTACCTCAATTTGAGGACCTGCTGTTTTTCCAATCGAAGGATACCTAATTCTACTTCTACCTCAGTCCTCAGGTTGAGATACTGCTTGTGCTCATCGAAGGATTCTTAACTCTCCTTCAGGTTGAGGATTTCTTCCGGCAGCAGCTTGCCCCTGTGTTGGTTGTATCATACGAGCAGCTGCTGCGGTGCCAAGACCTGTTATGTAGACCAAGTCACGGCTTTGGTCTCATCATTTGCGACGAGGGCCACCGACTTAAGAACAGCGCCAGCAAGACAGCCGCGTCGCTCGCGGCGCTGTCCATCTCGCGCCGCGTGCTGCTCACTGGCACTCCTGTGCAGAACGACTTACAGGTCTACTGGGCCCTGCTGTATATTAATTATCTATTATCTATTTGGGAAAATGTATTCCACTTTCGTATGATTATTCCATGGCTATATCGTATGGGCTATTTGGACGAATACATGATTTACGATCCATGTGACTTGTTGTATGGTATCTATTTTGTGGGAATGGATTGGACTTTTGAATAATTATTTCATGGCTGCATCGTTTGTTTCATTGAAATCACTTCAACGTATGCCACTTGCTGGTTGTAATTATTTATGTTTTCGAATTTTTGACATGAATTTGTTTGATAAATTAAATTATATGGAATTGTATCATTAAATTTATGATAATAATATGATCTTAACGTGCAGGAACTGTTCTCTCTCGCGAACTTCGTGGTGCCCGGCGTGCTGGGCAGCAGCGCCGCGTTCAGACGCCTGTACGAGGAGCCCATCGTGTCTGCCCAGCAAGCCTGCGCCACGCCAGTCGAGAAACAACTCGGTTACTTGCTACTTAGTTCTTATTTTCATAGGAAGCGTTAACAATTGTTACCTTCTCTTGGTAACTTGGTAATTGTTTCGGACGTAGCAGTCCCAGGCCACGATGGATCCCGCCTTTTATTATTTATAGGAAGCGTTAACAATTGTTACATTGGTAACTTGGTAATTGTTTCGGACGTAGCAGTCCCAGGCCACAATGGATCGACGCCTCTTATTATTTATGGGAAGCGTTAACAATTGTTACTCTTGGTAACTTGGTAATTGTTTCGGACGTAGCAGTCCTAGGCCACGATGGATCGCCGCCTCTGTAACTTACTCATTCACTTAGTAACCACAATTGGTTATTTCAGTTACAGATGTTGGACAATGAAACTGGAACTTCGGTTGTATTAGTGAAGGAACTGGATCTTCAATGGTAATAATAGCACCTTGCATTAGAAAGAGTGGGGGGAGGACGTTTAATGTGCCGGATAAGAGCTCAGTTTTGGTCGAAATATTGCAATGCAGCATGAAGTATACAAATACAGCTATGGCTAGCTTGCCATAGCCAATATTGTATAGAAAAGGTCTAACCTGCTATAGCTAAACCTTCTGTCATTCGCGTCACTGCCATTAATTTTTACAATAGTGAGAGATGGGCTATCTTGAGACGTGTTCATTGTGAACATTTACAGTTTCTGAATTATCCTACCCTTTGCTTTTTGTTTAGAAGAGTTGAGATGGGAATAAGATCATTTCGAGTTTCTTCCAATGCCAGGGTGAAGAATGGGGTGCAATCAATCAGGATCGACTGTTATATCAGTGCGACGTTCCCTTGGTTCACTGGTTTTTCTTTCTAACTGCACACATCATTGCCACAGACTACTAACCTATTCTAGAGAGCCCATAGTTATATCATTGTACCCTGAAGTCGCGTCGTGTATCAGGACGACTATGCACTAATAGAGCAATGCTGGTGGAAAGTTCGATAAACTTGAATATAATGTTGAGCATTTGCCAAATCCTGCTATGTCACTAGATCTGATCATAATAGAATAATTTTTGGGGAACATTGAAGAAGTCAATATTTCTCTCCCAGTATCAGTTTGTTATTAGGCTCTTATACTGCTGAAAGTATCGCCGAAAATTCCCTGATTAATGTGCAGGAATAACATATGCCATTTCCCTACGCCATATCATTGCTTATTGTATTATAAAGCCTATTTTTCACTTTCTATTTGTCCAAATCTGTGTATGTCTTAGTGTATTTGTAACATCAATCCACACTATTTCAGTCCACCACCCATCCTATTCACATGAAAATTTAAAATAGTGGAAAATCCGTTTTTAGGCCTTGCCTCTATTTCCTTTCCAAACTCGCCATTATGAACTGCAATGTTACTTATTTTTGCGAAAAACTGATTATCAATTTGTGAACATTCTACTCCTGTTGGGAAGAGCGGCTAATCTGTTTTACCGCCTCGGAAGGCCTTGATGATGTTTTACTTAATATAATTTTTATCATGCTAACTCTACTATTACAAACACACTGCAATAGTATCGTAAAGCAGCAGATTATCAACTTACGAATGTTTATTCACCAGGTGGTGACCGCGTCAAAGAACTCAACCGCATCACGTCTCAGTTCATCCTCCGCCGCACTCAGGCCATCATCAACAAGTCCGTCTACTTAACAGCTAATTTACTGGAACTCATTACGCCAATAAATCTGACTACATTACTAAAATATACAAAGCTAATTCATTTCAAATCGATTCTATTCAGTAAAAGTCGCTGAAATTGTTGGAATTTAATTGTTATATTAATATTAATAACCAGATCATTAATGTGCTTTTTCCGGTGTTAATTTCACAATATTTATACTCATACTGCATTGAATTTATTTGAAATGAATAATGAGGTGTTTTATAATTATGAACTAACTAGTCGAGATAAGTATTTTGCATGCAGTATTTTCTCTCAATTGATATCGGAAAGTTTACTACATAGGCGGTAAGGGGTTCATTGCTCTCGAAGTGTTCAGTATGAGCGTGTCCATATCTCGTTCCTTCTCTACCGCGAGATTATATGTGCAGATTTCATGCACTGTGGAAACTGCGCTCTATTCTTAGAATTTTTTTAGATTGAGAAGTTTCATGAAAATGAGGAATAAAAATGAGATATAAAAAGTTATTTAAACTTTTAGAAGAAATGGAACTGCTTTCCTCACATATTTGCAACCTTTAACCAGTTGCATTTTTATTCATGAAAAATAAAAGTCAGAACAAAGAATTTTTTTGTGACTTGTTGACAAAATATTGATCTGTGCAGATTGCCTTTTTATTCATGAAAAATAAAAGTAAGAACGAAGAATTTGTTGACAAAATATTAACCTGTGCAGATACCTGCCACCTAAAGTTGAGTGCGTTGTGTTCTGCCAAGCGAGTGCGAGTCAGGAGGCCGTGTACCGCGATGCTGCTCGCCTCGTGTCCAGCGCCGCACTGACGGCCGCTGCGGGTGTCGACCATCTCTCTACCATCATACTGCTCAGGAAAATCTGCAACCATCCCACGCTGGTCAACCCGGCAGCGGGTGAGTAGCCTTTTTTAGCGGGTGAGTAGCCTTTTTAGCGGATGAATAGCCTTTTTAGCGGGTGAGTAGCCTTTTTAGCGGGTGAGTAGCCTTTTTAGTGGGTGAGTAGCCTTTTAAGCGGGTGAGTAGCTTTTTTAGCGGGTGAGTAGCTGGAAAATCTGCAACCATCCCACGCTGGTCAACCCGGCAGCGGGTGAGTCGCCAAATGCAGGCCATGGTTTAATACTCAGCCAGTCAGTTAAACGCAGGTTTTTTATGCCAAATTACAAAATTTTTGAAGTTGTACCCCGCTGCAAAAAAAATTTAAAATATAATTAAGATTAATAAATTTAAAGGCAGTGCACCAAGATGACATACTTTTTCTGTTAAAGTTATGCAGTAAGAAATGAGTCATGTTGGTGTGAATTTAATACTGTTTAATCGTTCGTTGTTAACCAGTTCAACGGGCTTCTAGGATAATTTGTAAAGAAGAAACAACGCGAGTTCAACAATTTATTTTGATGAACGAAAAATAAGCTTCGTGGTACTTGTTAAAAGATAAAAGTAACCAAAATTTTAATCACAAAATTACTGAATTTCGTTTAATTACAAATAGAATTAAGAAGCTTTTTAATTTTAACCGTAACCTATGAATGAATTCTGAACTTGTTGCCCAGGCAGCGATGAAGAGCTTGGCACTTTCGCGCCCCAGGACCCCAGCGTGCAGCGGCTGTCTGAGCGCGCGCGTCTCCTGCTGCCCTCGCACCTGCAAGACACCGTCGCGTCCTCTGAGGAGGTGTTCAACCTCAATTTTTTGTCATTATATTGGCTGAAAAAAATATAAGTTAGAATTCTTTGGGTAGAAAATCTCATATAGCTGTTATTTCCAGTACATTCAGTAGGTATATTCCAGTATATTCAAGTACAGACTAGACAAGGCCATACAGGAGCATATGTTTAGTCTTAAAATGCCTCGTGTCCTACGGAACAACTGATATCTAGAAGCGATTTAAATATACCGTGGGTTGAAAAGATTTGATCAAAAGGCCAGTCAAGTCAAGAAAAGTACAAGAATCGGCGACAGGCCTATCCAGGCCTATTCTTTAATGCCGAAGATACTATATTATATTATATACGGTATTATTATTAGATCCAGTATATTGTATCTAGTTTATTGTCCAGTATATTAGAATATTCTCCAGTAATCTCTTCTTCCAGAGTAAGAATTTTCTGCTTGAACTCGTAGAGTGGAAAGGATAATATTGTTTGTATTGTTATGCGGATGAGTGATTTTCAGTGATCCTCAAGATCTGATCTTGACAGCAAATGCGCGGATGTTTGAAAGAGCCCGATTTGATAATATGTAATGCTTGACTCGTAGCCACAGTGACAAAACAGAAATTTTAGCACTTAACTCTTATTATTCAACTGTATGATGCTTCCGTAATTTGCCCTCAATGATTGATATAACGTTCTACATTACATTTTATATGTAATGTCCTAGAACTTTTCACGTAACGCGTTCTAGAACCATTGATAAAATGCATCATACGAAGATTTATGCAACGCATCCTAAAATTCTTTGGGTAGAAAAATCTCATATACGGTAGCTGTTATTTCCAGTTTATTATATTATATACGGTATTATTATTAGATCCAGTATATTGTATCTAGTTTATTGTCCAGTATGTTAGAATATTCTCCAGTAGTATCTCCTCGCGTCCTCTGAGGAGGTTTTCAACGTCGCTCTTTTGTCACTATATTTGTTTAAAAAATTTTAACGTCACTCTTCTGTCACTACATTAGTTTAAAAAATTTTAACGTCGCTCTTTTTTCGCTATATTAGTTTCGAAAATTTTAACGTCGCTCTTCTGTCACTATATTAGTCTAAAAAATTTAACGTCGCTCTTTTGTCACTATATTTGTTTAAAAAATTCTAACGTCACTATTTGTCACTATATTTGTTTCGAAAATTTTAACGTCACTATTTTTTCACTATAGTTGTTTCAAAAAGTTCTGAGTTAGAATTCTTTGTGTAGAAAAATCTCATAGGTAGCTGTTATTTCCAGTATATTACATTATATACGGTATTATTATTAGATCCAGTATATTGTATCTAGTTTTTTGTCCAGTATATTAGAATATTTTCCAGTAATCTCTTCTTCCAGAATAAAAATTTTCTGCTTGAATTCGTTTAGTGGAAAGGATAATATTATTGGTATTGTTGTGCGGATTAGTGATTTTCAGTGATCCTCAAGATCTGATCTTGATAACAAATGCGCAGATGTTGAAAAGTGCCTGATTTGATAATATGTAATGCTTGACTCTTAGTGGCCATGCTGAACTAAATTCTTATTATTCAACTGAATGACTTGAGAAGAAACTTCCATAGTTGTCCCCTCAATGATTGATATAACGTTCCACAATACATTTTATATGTAATGTCCTAGAACTTTTCACGTAACGCGTTCTAGAACCATTGATAAAATGCATCATACGAAGATTTATGCAACGCATCCTATAACGATCCACATCACGCATCATATGTATCAGCTCCGTGTAACGCATCATATATAACAAGGATTTAAATGACGCATCCTACAAGGATGCATATAACGCTTCATACAAGGATTCAAATAACGTATTTTCACTGGTTGCAGGACAGCGGCAAGTTAGCAGTGGTATCATGTCTACTATGGCAGCTGTCAAGTACCAAAGAGCGCATTGTTTTGGTCTCACACTTCACCAGCACGCTGGACCTGCTACAGCGCCTGTGTGACCGCTACAGCTACACGCACACACGTCTTGATGGAGCTACACCGCCACACAAGAGACAGAACATCGTAGACGCATTCAATAGCAAACACAGCCAAACTTGTGAGAATTGTGTGTGTGCTGAATCTGGGAGAAATGTGTGCTTCTGTGTGCGCTGAATCTGTGAGAAATGTGTACTCCTGTGCGCGTTGAATCTGTGAAAAATGTCTAATTTATACTTTTGTGTATGCTGAATCTGTGAGAAATGTGTACTTCTGTGTGTACTGAGTATGCAAGTATTAAAATTGTAGGAAGAGCTTCTCCTGTACATTTATACGAATTAAATAAATAACCATTAATTGGTATCAGGGTAATTTGATTGTGTTGTATGGTCGGATATGTGTGAATCTTGTGTTTATATGGCCTTGATCAGCGTGCTCGGATGACGTAGGAACAATTGACGATTAAGCCTTGAAAACTATCCTTATTATCCATGTCAATTGCGGTACAAAGATTCCATGCCTACCGTGCAATGCTTGTTAGTGGATTATACACAATAAGTTTCTCCTCATTAGTGGCGGTGAATGGATTACTCTTGTGAATAGTTGAGTGATTATACTGTAATTCATACAAAATGTTTTCATTATTTGCTGTGAATTTATTTCTCTGATAAATAGTTGTGTGGTTTTGAATTTCAAAGAGATGAGACTCGCTCAATATCGCATCTGTGGATAAGGTTCGTTTAGCCTCTGAAATGCCAAAAGGCGTTTCATCCTGTCATTCGTGCTATTAATATGGTTCTGTTATACTACCTCGCTTCCCCTGCAACTTGCGCGAAATAGAAAAATATTTTTCATAATGATTCAAACGCAGATTTTTTTTATTTAATATCACTGATGTTATAAATAAGGTTGATCCTCGCAGTCGTGTTCCTGCTGTCGTCGCGGGCGGGCGGTGTGGGCCTGAACCTGACAGGAGCGTCACGCATTCTCCTCTACGATGTCGACTGGAACCCCGCGACAGACCTGCAGGCCATGGCGAGGGTCTGGCGTGATGGCCAGACCAGGACCACGCACATATATCGGTACACTTAACCAATTCTTGCATCTAATTTTACTTTTGCTATGTAAACCATCCCTAGACATAGGAATAAAATACCCTAGACCATAGGAATAAAGTCGGGTAACTGATACCTAAATTTGCTCTATTATTGTCATCAAATTTTTTGTCATAAAATTTTTTGAGTGATATGTTTCATATTTTTTTCATCATGGTTCTATTCAAGATCTTTGAAGAAATTGCTCTTTGTACATTAAAAATGAAATCTGTAATACCTTCGCAGTTTAGTGCTAAGCGGCAGCGTGGAGGAGCGCATGTACCAGCGTCAGGTTCAGAAGCAAGGCCTGAGCGGCGCTGTCGTGGACGCCAAGAACCACAACAACTCCAAAGTTGCGTTCTCATTGCAAGAACTTCGGGTGAGTTTCAAGACAAATAACTTGTATGAACTTTTTTCTTGTATGAACTTAGTGTATGTTCCAAGAACCAAAAATGCTCCAGAGCTGCTTTTTTTTACTAAAACTGCAAATGAGTTACGAGAATTGCGAATGAGTTCGAGCAAAAACTCTTCGCGGCCAATTACATTTTCCGACTAAGTTAATGCACATTTATACTCATTCATCAAATCACCTGCTCTCGATTACAGTTCAACTGCGTTAATTTTTCCAGTTTCATTTGTTCATTATCCATCTAATATGTTTACCGCAATGCATTAATTTTGATCTCAGTGCTTATGTTCGTTATCCATCTGATATATTTACGTTAGTTGATGTAATGAATTAATTCTAACCCTCAGGACCTGTACAGCTACGAGAGCCTCGGCACCTGCATAACCCACGACCAGCTGCAGTGCAGCTGTGACCTGCGGGGCGGCCCCTGCCTACCGCCAGCGGCGTCTCAAGACGCACCCCTCAGAGGTGGCGTGTTTTTTGTTTTTAATATTTAATTTATTAAATATTTATTTTGTGAAGTGTTTCGCTGCTCATGACCACAGCTTAAATTGAAAAACGACATTATCAAGCATCTTTACGACGATCAAAGTCACGACATGTTTCACTGCTGATGCATATCAGTTCACTTAATATTTTGATGCAGATGTTCATTTGCTTGATATAAATTTAGACGTGTATATTTTATAATGCTTATACTTATCTATTGAATTGTTTCGACATTTTTTAATACTAAGGAGTCAGTGGTCAGATCACGATTTTGTTATTTTTTATACTGATCCTTATTAATAACTTAAATATTTTTCGCAGATATTTACGTAATTGCAATTGTCAAACAGACAGGATGCCCTACATTTGACCGATACCATTTAACAAGTTTCGCTGCTGTGTGGCAGGTTCTTATATTGTACATAAATTATTATAAATCATAAGTGTTGTTATCTGCAGCATGTCAGTTGCGCGTTGGCTACAGCGGCGCTGCAGAAGAAGGCCTCGCGTGCACCATGGACAGGCTGTACGAGTGGCAGCACTACAGTAGCGATCACATCTCCTCACTCCAGGTCAGAACTCTGACTTAATTATTTAAAACTAATTTGACTGAAATTGTGCCAAATCGCAACATGAATAGCACCAAATTTTAACATGAATTCAACTAAATTTCGATGGAACTGGTACCGAAATTTGACAATGTCAATTTCGAACTTCACTCTGCAAGGAAAATAATATACATCCCATTCAGGGATATAAATTATTATATATCTCATCAATATACAATACATATCCCATCACACATGAACGTAATATATAGATTTATGGGATATATATTATGAATAGGAATATATTGTATATCCCGTCAATATATTTAGGAGAAAGTTTCATTTCTATTATCCACAACTATCTAATTTCTCGTTGTGAAAATCATTATATCAAAATATTGAACATTTGTACTGATTTCAAATTGCAGCACTATAGTTTCGGATCTCAATGTTAGGAAAAAATTTTAACACAAATAAGAATTTGTCGAAATACTCCAGCTAATGTTATAAAATTTTTTTAACAAAAATTAGAGTTTGTCGAAATACACCAGCTAGTGTTATAAAATTTTTTTAACAAAAATTAGAATTTGTCGAAATACACCAGCTAGTATTCTAACTACCTGCCAATGCACAGGACGCGTGTTTGGAGGCTGGAGCTGAATTCATCAACATGGTGTTCCGTTACCAGGCCGACGCCACGGCCAGCACTTCGACTGAGAATATCTGATCGTCGTCCAAACTTCCTGTATTTTCTGCACTAATTTATGTAGAAAAAAACGAGAATCATACCAAAGCGTTTATTCTAAAAAAGTTGGAAAATAAAGTCGATCTTAAAATGAACTTATGTAAGAGTTTCTTTTTAAATCATTCACGTAACTAGAATCTGGAACTTCTTTTTGGGCAGTAAATAACGCACTTACTTTGAAGCAATGCAAGGGTGGTCTTGTCCAGTGAGTAAAATGATGTATTAAAAATAATTTACCGCGATACAAATGGACTTCGCTAACTCTAAATATAGCTAAAATACTCATTATCAGAAAGTCATCCGGTACTTTACAATGATCCTTATTACAAGTATGTTGCAGGCAATACAATCGCATCACCATGCGCACTGAACACAATATATCTCGTACATTTAATAAAATACAGGAATCTTGCAGCTTCCGCATCATGTTAGTTTTCATTCCTTCGCCGGAGTATCCCTCGTGAAGGGATTTGCGTCACAGGTCCGTGTCTAAAGTTGGACTTTTGAATCGGGTCACACTGAGGACAAATGAATCTATTTTCCTGGGGCTGTTTCGGGCCTAAACAATGACACACGTGGATATGCTGCGCTCCTCGGCAATCATTCTCATCGTTAACAGGAGGATGTCTTCTTTCTTTGGACGGATCACGATTAGCGCCGCTCAGTTGCACGTCTTTTGTATTTCTGTTTCTCGTAGTGTTAGTTCGTTCAGATTCTCCAGTGAGCTCATTAAACAAACGTAGATTTCGTTGCATTTGCAGCTGTTGAAGATTATTGCGACTTTGATCGCGTAACGCATCCAGCCGCAATCCAAATTCCCCATCAGAAGACCCAACTCCGCGAGTGGATGAACGAGAACGGTTTACAGAATCTTCAGCTGTATTTTCTTCAGCCCGAGTTCCCGGAGCTTGTAATGGGCGATTAAGAACATTTGCAGGACGATCTACAGGCTGTTGCAGAACATTTGCAGGACGATCTACAGGCTGTTGCGGAACATTTGCAGGACGATCTACAGGCTGTTGCGGAACATTTGCAGGACGATTTACAGGCTGTTGCGGATTTTTTGCCGAAGATTCTTGCCTGCCCCCATCAAGCGCCGATTGAGGCTCTGTTAAAGGACGATCTTCCCGGTGTTGCTGGTGCTGCTCATGAGGAAGAGGTCGAGTTTGCTGCTGATGTTGCGGTGCTGATAGAGGTTGGTGCTGCTGATGTTGCGGTGCTGATAGAGGTTGGTGCTGCTCCTGTTGCTGATGTTGCGGTGCTGATTGAGGTAGGTGCTGTTGATGTTGCGAAGCAGGTTGGTGCTGCTGAGGTTGCGGTGCTGATTGAGGTTGGTGCTGTTGATGTTGCAAAGCAGGTTGAGGTTGGTGTGGCTGATACTGTGTAGTAGGTTGCGATTGGTGCTGCTGATTGTACAAATTGGGTAGTGGCTGCTGCTGCTGATGGTGTATCTGTGAAGGAGGCTGCATTGGCAGATGCGCTCGTTGCATATGCTGACTTTGCTGCTGTTGCGGCAGAAGATGCGTCTGCATTCTTGGCTGGGATTGCATTTGTTGCGGGACGATTTGAGACTGGGGCTGGCTGTGGTAAAATAGAGGGGGAGGATGAGGTACAAAACGTTGTTCAGATGCTAGATCGGTTGGTCCAGCAGCTACAGGCTGTCCGTAAGTGAAAGCTGAGCCCAAGTTTGCTGCAGCATCAGGATTAAACGTAGCCTGACTCGGAGCGGTCGTGTAGCGAGGGTGCAAATGTGAAGCGGGCAACCCTTGCGCGGCACACACTTCTTGTTGCTGCAATGTTGCTCTAGGTTCCTGTGATTGTTGCACATGTGTATGTTGAGGGGCGTAAGAAGTTTGGTATTGAGGCTGCGTAAGATGTGCCTGGGAGTGAGGCTGTGGGTACTGATGATGAGGCTGATGTGTCGGTTGTGGCAGCTCCCCTTGAGGTACAGGCACTTGCGGATGCTGATAATTGAACAAATTAATGAAAAATCAACATATATATACGAGTCTTGTATTGCAAGATACCAATGTTGTTGCGATTTTTAATATTTGCACTTCAGCGTGACAGGCGTCAATACCTCAAAAGGTTCATGCCAGGTCCAATGCAGAGGGCCAGTTCAGTCAATTCGACATTACTTACTTTACTGAAAACTAGTCAAATAAGGAAACGCAGGCAGCAGCTCTAACTTTTTTAACCCAATAATTTAAAAGCAAACGAAATGTCAAGCATATTCATCATAATTTTCTTGGCATATTATTCAAATTCTAGGCTAATCCCCCATTTAAATAAATTAATTATACAATAGTTCGCTTAGCATGTTTGAATATTTATATCAATGGGTCAAAAATTGAAAATTGCTCAAGTTCTTAGAAATTAGGAAATCACGTAAAAGTTCTTTATCTCACCGGGAAAATGTTGATGGTTTGGGTGTTGGGGAGTCTGCTGGAGTGATACGTCGTTGCCCCTCTTGAGGTCAGTTTAAGCTGCTCCAGCTCGGCCCTAAGCTCATTGTAAGCCGACCGTAACTCCTCGTTATTTCCACGATCCTGCTGAGAGGAGCCACGATCCTGCTGAGAGGAGATGAAACAAATGACTGATATCATTAATCAGATTAGCTACAGTTTAATTTAAATTTCAATGTTCGTAGTTGTTGAATCTTTGAAATGTTTCCTGCACCGACAACCCTCATCATCCTTAAACCTTAATCTACTGAGTGTAAATCTACCTGACAATTAATTTATCCGTAGACAAGGGGTTGAAATTTTGTCTAATGATGGTCACTCTAGTGAACAGGCCTAGTGAATACCGTACCGAATAGTACGGTATTAACGACTTTTATTGTTTTCATGCAGACAAAGGGCTACATGTAACGTAGTCATGTTCACAAAGGAAAACATGAAAAATAATATGCGTTTGAAAATTACTTTTAAAAGACAAGACTTTCAAAGCGGCCAGTGTCTCCGATGACACATATACAATTAATTTCTTATTTTATTTTTAAATTAAAAAAATAATAATTTTTGCCATTTTTTTAATATTAAAAAAATGTTTATTATTTATTCTGTCAATCGAATCAAGCATTGTCTCCGACTTTATGCAAGAGTTCAAAATTTCAGACCGATTGAACAGGTAGAAGTGTGTTAAATATCGATTATAAGATTTTTAGCAGACAAACAAACAAACAAGAAGTGAAGTAAAAAAGAAGTGTTGTAAAAATTCATGCACAAGAAGTAGTAGAGAGCAGTACAAACAACATAGATACGTCAGCATTACCTGAAGTTGCGAGCGACGTCGCTACATGTTCACAAAGGAGCACATAGAACATATTCATGCACAAGAAGTAGTAGAGTGCAGTACAAACATCATAGATACGTCAATATCACCTGAGGTTGCGAGCGACGTCGCGACACAAAGCGCCGCCACGTGTCAACGGAGCGACGCGCGAGGCTCGCTTTACGAATGCGACTGCTTACACCAGCCAGACGCTCCTGCATTCATGTAATACAATGAATGTCAGTTGTGCAGTAATGATAGTTAGTTAGTTCAGTGGCCGTAGTTGCTAGCGCTTCAGGTCGAGCTATCTCGCGCCGAAAGTCACGTCGGACATTACTGGCTAGGGGTAGACTACATCACTTGTTGCAGTAATGATAGAAATGATCGAAACATTCCTCAACGCAGTTTCAGGTTCAAGTGAAAACCTCAAAGAAGTTTTCAGAACAATAAACGATCAGTCCAGACTATTGAAGCATTTCTAACTTCACTAGCACACCACCTAAAAGACGACTCTTCACCTGGGCCCAGAAGTCCTAATCGACGCTTCAAGTTTAGGACTTCTGAATCCTGGGTGCTTTAAATTAAAAGGTTAAATAGATTAAAATAGATCACGTGTGCTTTAATATTTTTACTGCGGGTAGCCCCTTATCAGCTGAGGGCAACTCCACTGAACTAGAGGCACTGATAACTGGACTAATAACATTTACTGTAAAGTACTGTATTGGCGACTTATTATTGACCGAACGTAAAGGCTACAGGTTGATAGGGCCTGAATTTATTATACATATACTATATTGAAACGATGAATTGAATTATATTTATTTTGTATTTTTTCGTAAAATGATACACGAAGTCATTGATGTTAATATTCACTTCGTATTGCTGAGCATTGCGACGCAAGGTGGCGCTGAGGCGAGCGTTGTCGGCAGCTAACCGTGCCAGTCTCTCGTTTGCGAGGCTTCGTTCCTGTACAGAATTCTGAAATAAAACACATACATTACATCTGCCTGGTACTCATATTTTGCGACCAATGTTAATGCACACGCAAAATCATACATCTCAATTCTATCACCACGAACAGCCCAATTGCACTACCAGAAACAGTAACGTAGCTGTACCATCAGTAACAGTAATCAAGTTGCACTACCAGCATCATCAACTGACCAAGTTGCATTATCAGGAACAACAACCTAGCTGAGCAGAAAGAACAACTTTGTGGCATAACCTAAACCAGGAGCTAGTTTCACTTTCTGGAACAATCTTTAGAAATGTAAATAAGCTCCAATACCGTCCAGTGCCAAGATGATAAGATCTTCTGCTATTCTACTCTACAAAGATGTACAAGATGTTCTGCTATTCTACTCTACAAAGATGTATAAAATGTTCTGCTATTCTTCTCTACAAATATGGATAAGCTGCTCTTCTATTATACTATAACAAGATTATTATGACAATATTATTATTAATATTATTATTACCCATGCCAACTATCCATCTCCAGTCACCACCATACCTGAGAGGCAGCATCGAGCTGCTCTCGCAGGGCACGGATCTCGTCCAAGACGCGGCCCTCCTGCTGCTCCTCCTGACGCTGTAGCTCCGCAAGCAGCAACTCAAAACGGCGCTACGATGGTTAACATTGAGAACGATGGTTAACATTGAAAACGATGGTTAACATTGAGAACGATGGTTAACATTGAGAACGATGGTTAACATTAAGAATCAAAGCACATCATGTATCGAGAATAGTCAATAGTTATAGTGGTTATGACTTGACCTTATTTTGCATAATTAAATAACAAATTTGCCATCTCCGATAATGATTCTCATAGTATTTCACAAATAAGAAGCAAGGAATGTGCATTAATTACCTCGCATTCATCCCTGAACTGGAGGATGGCAGTGCGCAGGGGGGCGTGGAGGTCGTCAGTGTCAGGGGAAGAGCTACTGTCGCTCTGACTGCTGACGGTGCGAGTGTCAGTCATGTTGGGGCAACCACACGAGACTGTGATGCGTCTCAACGATACATTAAAAACGCTCCAAAAACTTCCCCAAAAAGAATTCTAAACGTAAAAATAACAGAGATATAAGTGAGAAATAGGTTATGTAACTGGCCTGCCTAGACAACACAACGCGCGGTGTGGTAGTGTTCAGCAACAAGGCCCAGAGCCTAGTGGTTGCCAAATTTTTCTATGTTAAGATAACACAGCATAACTATGACACAGTTATGACTTACCCCCATTTCCCAATTACTGTAACTTGGCTCCTTAAATAGATGCCCTTACCCTCGAAGTGGGGGCCTAAAAGATCCACGACGAGCGTCACTAGACTCGTGTGCGATCTTCTTCAGCACATTTTGTAGAACTATTTTATTGAGCTATGTTAACACTGATCTCCATCATAAATAACGATGTTCTGACCATGAGATAACAAGGTTCTGTATTACGAACAACCATGTTCTCTGTCTCGTATAACGGTGTTCATCTCCTCAGCCAGCGACGTTATCCCTCTCGAATTACAATGTTCTGCCCGGACATAACATAATTTTCTTTCTCAAATTACAAAGTTCTTCCATGTGCCTGGAGGTCGAGGGCTCGGCAAGAACCCTTAGCAGTAGCAGCGCTCGGCGTACAGGTTTAATGTGTTGAGAAATACTGAACTATTGCAGGCGGAACTATAACAATTTATTCAATTCATTGGCCGCATTTACTAGCACTGCAAATCGTACTAGATTGAAAACAGCAATACCTTATAAGAAAATATAATTACTAAATTAAATAAAAGGAATACATTTTAGGAATCTACGGATAGAACTAGTCAAATTCAAATTTACACAAGTCTGATTATGTCTGCACAATAAAAACCCAAATGAAACTCGTTTTTTGGTAGAAAAACTTAAACAAAAGCAAAACCCTTGTGCAGTTTGAACGACCGAGCGCAGCCACTGCTCCTCTGCGGAAAGGAGAACACACAAAAAAATAAGAAAGACCAAAGTTGTGTCTAAATAAATTGTACTATAGCAGGGCCATGTAATGGATGAACAATCACGAATCTCGAGGAGAGAAGCAATCACATAAATGCTTGTTTTAATTAAATTCAGCAGCATGTAAATCAGAATTTTAACGGCACGAACTTGAATTTAAATGCGATTACAAATGCCAAAGCTTAGCGAATAATAACATTAAATCATTTACGAGTAATATTATTGCAGATTGCAGAAAGTAGGTACGAATATTGAGTTCGATCGATATTGCATTATCAGAAATAGAAATATTGATAGCCTTCCACGGAATGACAATGGCATCTAAGCGTTTCATTTTCGAGTTTACATCAACATATTCATTGTAAGCAGCGAGTGTTACATCAATAATTTCAAAGCTAACAGATCACATGTCGAAAATAACGTAAACCAATAAGTTTTGAAATCATTTCAGTGAGGAAGAAGCGTTAGTTTTCGTCAAGGGTAGATAAAATAATAGGTCATATTGCCCAAACAGTGACAAGTAGCAGTGCTACGCTCGGGTCAAAGTGGCCCAGGATGACCCATATAATTAATGAAAGTGCATCGCTATTTATACAAAGTCTCGTTCATATCTCTGAGTAAAGGCTCTAACGGCTGGAATTAACACGAGTTCTTTTATACAACGTACACATACATTGCAACACAAATGACTAGGCTGGTAGATGTATCAAGAAAGGAAAACTTTACATCACGTTCTAGAAGCTTCTACCGGTAACATTTAGTTTAACTCGAGAACAAATGTGCGTCGGTTTTATCTTATTCATCACTGTCACAGAGGTAAATATTAACCTAAAAAAGCAACACTGCTAGTGATTTTTACAAGCGGCAACATATAGTCAGAATAAACTTAAAAAAATTAGAAGTAACTAATTTGTCGCAACGATAACAGATTAGGCTCGGGTCGTCGTTAACAGAACAAATGGTGCTCAATAATTAGCATCAAAATTCGATGTGCGCATATTCATTCATCACATGAAGCTACAAAAAACTATAAAGAGAACGCAAGTACCTACCAAACTATGAAGAAGGTACACGTGTCAAAGAAAGGTTCATTATATCCAGTCACAACGCACATGTGACACGGAACTAACATAATCTGGGCTAAAGTTTCAATATCTCAATAGGTTTTAAGTCTATTTCATAGGAGCAGGAACGAGAATAAGATACCCTCGCACAGGGGGAAACACAAACAAGGGGGAAGGGAAACAAAAAATGAGGTGCAGGAACAACGAACGATATTATGCTTTTTTTTTGAGGGTGCGAATTTTGTGGCCTTAACAGCAGTAGAGCCCAGCAAAAAAATGCTAAGGATCTGTTTTCAGAAAAGATCGTCAGCTTAAGTTAGCGGTTCGGCTTTCGAAAAACTCTGAACTTAGTTTTTTTCATTTGCGCCAAAAGGCACAAAAAATGAAACTTTTTTCCCAGGTTCAGACATGGCGGTCCCAACAGTTGCTGAGGCAACTTAGATGATAGAGCCACTGTTTTGTGCTCAAAACAGCGCAAGACAGAAAGATCGATTCCAGGTCCCAGCGTCATGACAGACATTGCTCAGTTTGGGTTTGTTTCATTTAGAATGTTTGAGGGGCTGTCATTTCCTCTTGTGCACTATTTACCATTGTTCCCATGGAACTGCTATCCCTAAGTAAAAATGGACAGAAGATCTAAGACCCAGTGCGCTGCAAGAGTCTTGTGTTCAGGAGCCCCAGTTGGTGCGAAAGCCAGTCTATGTGTTTGGAGAGGTCCTTTGCGCTAGAAGCTAAACAATACAACATGCTGAGAAGCCTCAGTTGGCAAAAAGCCAGTCTAAGCCATCAGTTAAGTCCTATGTGCTGAGAGGCCCCAGTTGACGGGTAAGCCAGTCTAAGCCGTCAGTTAAACTCTATGTGCTGAGAGGCCCCAGCTGACGGGTAAGCTAGTCTAAGCCGTCAGTTAAACTCTATGTGCTGAGAGGTCCCAGCTGACGGGTAAGCCAGTCTAAGCCGTCAGTTAAGTCCTATGTGCTGAGAGGCCCCAGTTGACGGGTAAGCCAGTCTAAGCCGTCAGTTAAGCCCTATGTGCTTTACTTTTGTCATGCGAGTCAACGTCGTTCAATAAAATGCACTCAATTCGTGTCTGCGAAGGAGGAGAGCAGATGGGTAGAGTGTAGTGACCCATGGTGGTAGAACCAAGTTTCACATGTTTATCAAAAACATTCGCAGTGTCGTCATTCAAATTAATCACCATTCCAGCTCTCTTCATGCATGACCTACTCAGCAGCAGAGGAATGTTAGAATCAACAACATCACTTTATTTCAACAAGGAACAGTTGGAACAGGGGCAAGGCTGAAATATCAGAAATCAGTGTAAAATTCATAATCGACAAACTGCTTAGTAAAGCTCATAAGGTACAGCCACAAAATCCAGCGTTAGGCACAAGATTGCTGAGAGTTAGTAGAGCGGAGTGAGCTTGGGTTAGTGCCTCGCTGCCTCACTCTCGTGTAAAATGCACATGAGATGAACACTAGAATTGTGGAAGTAAATGACTGGTACGGTAACACTGAACAATCAAGATCGTTCATAGGAGAGTTATGTACAAAATCAAAGAAACATTAGAATCTCTAATTATTCCAGAATAATCAGAAAACAATGAAATTGCACAACAGCGACAAGTCATTTAAATCAATACCTATTCTTTATTTATTCGTCCAACGCTTCAGCTGTCCGTTAATATATACATTATGAGCAAATTTTTCTATCAACATAAATGAATCAGGTGGAGCAACTTTTGACCACACACTTCACTGAAACACCAGGATTATTAGTCTCATACAAAGGAAGGAATTATTCTCTAGTGGCCCAGACACTGATAACCCGTTTCAGTTGTGCACTTCATAGTCCAACTCTTACCATTTCCTTTAAAAACAAGCAGCAAAATCAGGTACACTCACCTATTGTCTATATTATTTTCAACTAACACTAGCGGACAGATCACCTATATCAGAACTCAACAGAATCGAAAAAAATGAAGATTTGTACTGCAAACACTAGGTAGTAAAAAAGACCACAAGAACTGAAGATAATATTTTCCCTAATATTACTGCACAAAATATTGCCCAGCTATTCATTATCGTTCATGACATAACCTTCTAATTTGTTGATCACCTGCTTGTTTATCTTTGTATATGATGTTACTAACTTGTGTAATCGTGTGTATGAGGTTATCAACTTGTTTGTTGGCATATATGACTTATCTGCAGTTACCAAGTTATTTGTACATATATTGTTGTACATATATTGTCAGTTTGCTTATATGTGGCTACGCACTTGTTTGTTGGCGTATATGAGGAGCGGAACATCCTTCAACTGCCTCTCCATCATAAGCTTGGTGAGCTCAGCCCTGGCCTCCTCAAGTCGGTCGCGGTCGCTCGAGTCCACCACGAAAATAACGGCCTGAGTGTTGTAGTAATAGTGACGCCATAGCGGCCGCAGCTTCGGCTGTCCGCCAACGTCCCACATAGTGAACTGCACAAAAATTACAGCTTTAATACGTGTGATAATCTANCTGTCTCTTATACACATCTAGATGTGTATAAGAGACAGGCAATGCACAGTGCCACGTAGCACAAATTCTCACTGCAATGCACGTGACCACGTAGCACAAATCCTCACTGCACCGCACGCAACAATTCAGCACAAACGTGCACCTCAGAGCATCATCCAGGCTGTAGAGAATACGCAGGTTCAAGCCCATTTTTGAGCATTTGAGAATTGGATGAAATATAAAATTAAAATATTGTTAGTGGAGCGTTTTTGAGGTCATTCATACTTTCATATAAAATAAGTAATAAATAAAGTAAAAATTATGTGTTTACCAATCATGATACACCAATTAAAACAAACGTCAAATAAAACGTGTATATACAGGCAAAAGAATGCATATAAATCTATTAGTTAGCTACTCGATTGCCAAATTGTCATGTAGTAAATTTGAATAATTTAAATTAAAACAATTTCCAAGCTGAGAATTTTATTCAGAAAATAATCAACAAGTTATTCCAGTTTGAATCACAATACCTTGAAATTTTATAGTGCATAGTAATTTGATAAAAGTTTAAAAAGTGGAAATTTATAGGAGAAAATACGCAAGTTATTCCAGTTCGGAGCAGAATACCTTGAAGTTTTTTAAAGTGAGAAGAGTGTGTTATTTGATGAAAGTTTTAACATTAGAATTTTATAGAGAACAAAATTCGCAAGTTATTCCAGTTAGGAGCACAATACCTTGAAATTTTATAGTGCATAGTGTTTAATTTGATGAAAGTTTAAATATTGGAATTTTGTAGAGAAGAAAATACGCAAGTTATTCCAGTTAGGAGCACAATACCTTGAAGTTTTTATAGTGCATAATGTTTAATCTGATGAAAGTTTAACCATTAGAATTTTATAGAGAAGAAAATACGCAAGTTATTCCAGTTAGGAGTTAATACCTTGAAGTTTTTATAGTGCAGAGTGTCAACATTGAAGCCAATGGTCGGGATCCTTGGCTGACAAGAGTTCTGCTGCAGACGGAACAAGATGGACGTCTTGCCGGCCCCGTCCAGTCCCAGAGTGACAACCCGCATGTCCAGCACAGCTCCGATGTGGATGCGGTTGTCCTGTTCAAAGTAAGTTATTATATTCTGTTGCATGTCAGGGCCAAAATTTTCACGTACCTTGACCTACCTACACACGAAATATAGGTTCTGATTCATATTGTATCGTTTCTATAAAATACAATTGGATAGAATGTCTCTATGTCATAGAATGTTAATAATGAATCGTCTAATGTAATAGAATACAATTGAAACCAGGAGACTAGGCGTGGGCAAATTATTTGAAGGTGGAACATCATCGTGGCCATCCAGATCTGATGAGAAGATAATACAACATACCTTAGTGAATGTGAAGGGAATGATATAATACACATTACCTTAGTGAATGTGAAGGGAATGATATAATACACATTACCTTAGTGAATGTGAAGGGAATGTTATCCTCGATGGTGCCAAGTGATTCTTCAATGGCTTCAAGCTGCGGCTGTTGCTGCTGCAGCAGCTGTAGCTTAGCAATGAGGGGGCGTCCGGTGACCAGCACCCGCCCATCGTCCTGCTGCAGGCAGCGCTCTGACTCCAGCACCAGACCAACCATCTGATGGAACAAAGCTGCACTTGAACATTCTTGCACTCAAACTCCAAATAATGCTTTATTTATCTATAATTACTAGTATTTTGTTGATTTATTCATATTTCCGATCACATTCTCTGCAAAGCTTTCAAATTTCTTAAATATATTAAATGCTTTACGCAACTTAGAAGTAAACTTGATTATTTCTAAGAGACTTCCTGTGTAAACCATATAGACCTACCTGCAGAATAATGTGAAGAACCTTCCTGCATATAATTGAACTTCGAGACAATTATTTCTTAACAAGACAAAACATCACGCCTACAGTCAGTGAGATGTACGCGAGTTCCTGAAGCAATGGAAACAAATCATTACTATTTATTACGGTACCTGTGATATATATTACCGTATGTGCGATATATTGCTATACCTGTAATATATTGCTATAGGTACCTGCGATACATTACCATACCTGTGATACATTACCATACCATTGCCATACCTGTGACTCTTAGCCATACCTGCGATATATTGCCGTTCATGCAATATATTGCGTACCTATGATACATTGCCATACCTGCGACACATAACCGTTCATGTAATATATAGTCATACATGCAATATACTGTATGATCGTACCTGTTGTGACCAGCACCCGCCCATCGTCCTGCTGCAGGCAGCGCTCTGACTCCAGCACCAGACCAACCATCTGATGTAATAAAGCCACACTTGAACATTCTTGCACTCGAACTCCAAATAAAGCTTCATTTCTCTATAATTGCCAGTATTTTGTCGATTTATTCATATTTACGATCAACTTCTCAACAGCAAGTACTAAACCCACCTTTCCATGTGCTCTGCAAAGCTTTAAAATTTCTTAAGTGTATTACATGCTTAACGTAACTTAGAAGTAAACTTGATAATGTGAAGAGGCCTACCTGGAGTTAAATTTCGAGAAAATTATTTATTAATAAGACTAATATAACGCCTACGATCAGAAAGTTGCACGTATGAGTTGTTGAAGCAATGAACATAAACAATTACATATATTACCTTACCTGCGATACATTACCATGCCAGCAATACATTGTCATACCTGCGATGCATTACCGTACCTGTGATTTACTTGTATGATCGTACCTGTGATATGAGGGAGGATAGATCCTCCTGTTGCTGTTTGATGGAACAAAGTCGTTCTCTAACGTGGGCGTGGAGGGTGACGATGGCAGAGCTCTCCTGCACCAACAGTTGCTGCCGCAGTGCACTGAAGTGCTCCCGTATAGCTGCCATTACGGCGGCCACGGGCGAGCTCGACTGCTGTGGTGGCGCGGCTGGCAAGCCTCTGTCAACAATATGATTTGGTGATCCTTCAATGTTGAGTCAAGATTACTGTGGCTACTACTTAAATTATACACTCAGGGTTACTTAATTAAATGGTTAATATTACAGGAAATATATGATTACTGTTACTGGGACTAAATTATTGATGTTACTTATTAGTAGTAGAAGGTTTTGTAGTGCTTCAGAGAAACACAGTCTATTTCACGCCCGAGGTATAATATACATAGATAAAAATTTAGTAAACAAATTATCAAACCTTCAATATTTCAGGGATTATACGATTACTGCAACTGGGATTAAATGATTAACGTTACACTTATTAGTAGTAGAAGATTTTATACTGCTTAAAAAAAACACGCCTGAGGTATAATATACACGCCTGAGGTATATATTTCATGCCTGAGGTATAATATACATGGATGTAGTGCGTTGTAAACAAGCACCCTGTACTTAATTCCGCCCAGGCTCAAGAGTATCTATCGTACCCAGAGCTGTGGCCGTGGGCGGCGGCACTCGAGCTCATCAGAGGAGGCAGGCTGGTGGCGGCAACCACGGCAGGAGCAGCAGCGATGGACGTGGCCAGCAGTGAAGGCAGTAAAGACGATGCCTGTATTAAAGACGAGGATGACGGCACGGCGACGAGTGAAGGGGGATCGTCCCCCGACGATTGATACAGCGCGGTAGACAAGGTGTGGGTAACAGGGAGTCCAGGCAGTGATTCAGCAGTGCCAGGCAACGTGTCTGGGTCACGGTCCACAATTGCTGGACAGTCTTCCAACTGATGAGCAATTTGTTCTGCACAAAATACAAGACAATTAATTGATAAAAAGAGACAATGAACAACGCAGAATAAATCTAACTTAAGTGTAATTTGTTCTGCACAAAATACAAGACAATTAATTGATAAATAGAGACAATGAACATGCAGAATAAATCTAACTTAAGTGTAATTTGTTTTGTACAAAATATTATTAATTTAGGAGGAAAGTCCAGAAACAATGCAGAATAAAACCAATTTACGTGCAATTTGTTTTGTACAAAATGTTATTAATCAAGGAGGAAAGTCCAGAAAATGCGGAATAAATCCAAATTATTTTTATTTTGCTATGCACACCCCTGAAAATGCAGAGTAAACAATAAACAAAGCTGAGTAAAACAGAGTTCATTGTGCCAAGAATGTCATAAATGGGAGAAAACTCACCCAGTTTCCTTAGCGTGTTGGTGAGCTGCAGTGCCGTGCGCTTCACATTCAGCGTCGCTGCTCCGAGCTCCAGACGAACGCTCTCAGCTTCTGACTCTAGCAGTGCGTGCTGAAGAAAATAAATGATGTTGCTACTTGAACAAAACAAATCTATTTTCAGAATTTGAAGAATGTACAGCAAAAAAAAAAAATAACTCAGTACTCACTGCAGTGAGTGACAGAGAGCGCATTTTCTCGTCGACAAAAACGTGAAGTCACGGACGGACAAACAGACGGACGGACAGACGGACATGGCGAGCACAATAGTGCATTTTTTTCATAAATGAGAAAATTTGCTAAAAAGGCCAAGAGAATTCACCATATTTTTATGGAAATGAAATCATATTTGAAGAATGTACATGACTTTTTTGCTGGTTAATTCTTAGGTAAAGTGAGATTCACATAAAATTTTCTAAATATTTGAAATATCAAATACAGAACACATTTCAAGCATAAGAATCACGTTTCTGTAGATCGAATCATAATACGTTTTATAATTAACACTTTACGTTTATAATGAACACAATTTACAATAAAAAATGGTTTTAAAATGATATAAAGACATTTGTCAGCAGGAGTGTGTTTACATACCTTGTACTTGTAACCCTTGCACATGTGCTTGTAACCCTTGCACATGTGCTTGTAACCCTTGCACATGTGCTTGTAACCCTAGCACATGTGCTTGTAACCCTTAAATATTTGAAATATCAAATACAGAACACATTTCAAGCATAAGAATCACGTTTCTGTAGATCGAATCATAATACGTTTTATAATTAACACTTTACATTTATAATGAACACATTTTACAATAAAATAAGATTTTAGAAGGATATAAAGACATTCGTCAGCAGGAGTGGGTTTACATACCTTGTGCTTGTAACCCTTACACATGTGCTTGTAATCTGTGCATTTGCAAATGAAGCACATGAAGAGTAGGTTGACCCTCCTTGTGCTTGGCATGTTTGTAGTCCTTGCAGATGAAGCACATGAGGAGTTGGTTGACCCACCTTGTGCTTGGCATGTTTGTAGTCCTTACAGATGAAGCACATGAGGTTGACCCACCTTGTGCTTGGCATGTTTGTAGTCCTTGCAGATAAAGCACATGAGGTTGACCCACCTTGTGCTTGGCGTGTTTGTAGTCCTTGCAGATGAAGCACATGAGAGGACTCGTGCTGGTGCAGAGGGGCTCAAGGCAGACAAAGTCGACGGTGTGAGAAGGATGGCAGGGACAGCGTGGCTTCTCCCGTGGCTTGTCTGAGGGATTCAACAAATTATAAGAGCTATGTATCAACTAATCACGCCAGACTGTAAAACGTGCACAATAACTACTATGTAGAAAAAGGTTGAGTGGACTATCATAGATGAAGAGATATCAATAAATTAAATTAATTGAACCAGTTTTCCATTCAACATCTAATCAAAAGGCAACATAATATTTAATATCACACTAATTATACAGTTGTTAGGAGTTTTGTATTCAACATATCATACCACCGATACAATTAAGAAGAATTTCCATTAATCATTGTTCTACGGTACTCATAAGTAAATATCCTACTATAACAGCAATTTAATTAATATAAGCAAATTTCCATTCAGTATAGGTACTCAAATCATAAACCAATATCCTACTGATTATGCCACTCAATCTATTAGCAAGTCTATTTTCTTTTAAACCTTCATGTAATGGTAATTACCGGCAATAGGTATCCTCCTGTGGGTGTGCAGGGTGCGGGGGGCATGGGAGCGCTCACTGCATGCATGGCACAAGTTGGAGGTGCACACAGTGCAGTACAGCGTTGCTATGTGAGTCTCATCCTCATCACACACTTCTGACGGCAGGCACCCACCTCCTGCCAGTCCCACGCTGCAAGCCACTGGCTGAAGGGGTGACACTACATTAAATGACTACCAATAATAAGGTAGTACCGGTATGTGTAAATAAACATGAATCAAGGCACCCAGTCCCATGCTGCAAGCCACTGGCTGAGGGGGTGACAATACATTAAATGACTACAAACAATAAGGTATAATTGCAAAACGTGTAGCTGAGGTTTTTATACCTATAGGAGTAGGCTGCCTATCGAAAGGACAGCATATAACACTATTAACTACAGCAGCAGATGTGGTGCTGGAGCTGCTGGATGCCTCATCAGCAGCAGAAGTCATAGGAAGTCTCAGCAAGCAAGAGTGACATAATGTATGGCCACAGAACAGCAGACGTGGCACTTTATCTCCACCAAGACTGAAGCTCTCTTCACACACTCGACACTCCAGCTAAAATTAAGAAGAAATAAATACATCAAACATTAAATGATTCAAATTTAGTATTTTCAAAATTTCATAAACTAAGTTTGGTATTAATGAGCTATGGCATTATTATGAAGTTTTTAATGAACTTATGATGATGAAATTTGTATTCAATTTACCTGTCTTCCTGATTGCTTGCCAGAGGAAGAAGGCCCAGAATTGAATGTGTGGAATGACTGCTGGGCACAAGCTAGTGGTGAAGCAATCAGAGATTCTTCAGCCATCCTAGTTTCCAAGTCTTAACATATATATTTATATTTTACTTTTGTAAATAATATTGCTGGTCTGGAAATAGAACACTTGTTAAATGAGTCAGTTATATACCGGTATGTAAGTTTGAGGAATGCAGGGCTGGAAAAGTCTTTATTTCTGAAATATCATGGCTCTAATATCATATAATTTCAGTAGGTATGAAATCTCGTGGCTCTAAGCCTCTAATGTCATGTACATATTTTTGTTTGATTGAAAAAATCACAGTTTGCACTCCGCAAACATGTTGTTTCATAAAATAACTTCTGCAATCCGCACTACTTTAGCGATCCCGCCAAAATATCCTGCACAACATAACAACAATTAAACCTAAAACGGTTCCGTATAGATGGCATAGTTGTGGTCACGTCAGATTGGTCTGTTGGTCAGACTACATTATCACGTGATCAGTTGCCACTCAAGTGAAGACAAATGTTAGTGTTGACTGCTTTTAGGGTAAAATTAGAGATTAGGGGGTAACAAGTGCATGGGACTTGGTAAAAAGTTTGTGCCTGCTGGCTTGTTACTCGTAAATGGCTTTTAATTGCTGAGAAATGGAATGCACGGTGCAAAGGAATTAAATCACGGCTCAAAGAAATGGAAGCACAGCTAGCAAGTCTATAAAACCATGGCTCCAAAAATTTAGTTGCGGCTCGCCAAGTAGATATATTCCATGCCTGGAGTAATGCAAATTCAAAAAGTCTTGAGTCCTTGTATTTGTGTTGGACTATTCATTGCTTGTCATACAAGCAAAAAGCACAATGGAGACAAGTCAAAAACAATTAAAGCCATTAAAAATATATGTAAAAGATAAATAAAAAATTCATTCTGACAATTTTTGCCATTTACCAAACAGCATCTACTTGACAATTTGACATTGTAAATGATAGAATGGTTTATTGTACATAAAATTAGTACTATTAGGCAGTGTGGAATTCTGGATAGGTAATATATTCTCATGTTTATATAACAAAATGGATCAAAAAGCCTACCATGTTACACCTTCCAATGCAATGACCAGTAGGAGTTGAGCTAATCAGAAATTACAGTGGTTCCAATATTGCGCAATTTAATGACTGCATGTGGATTGCTGGGTTGGCAATGCCTTTCTCAAAGTCTCAAATCAATTCACTAGTAGTAGTTTATCCATAACTGACCAATTTTTTGCAATGAAAATATTTGAAAATAAAAGGAAAGTACATTAACTTTTGCAGAAAATTCTCATGATTTCACCAATATTAACAAAGTTTCTTATACCACACAGAATGATGAGATAAACTGCAATTCTTCATAGCATCAGACACATTGTGATATAATGTGAACATAAGATGAGATCATTAAGATGATGTCCCACTCTCTGTTTAGGCAATGTCAAATTCAATTTCAAATAAAAAGATTTGATTCACACTGAGATTTCAATGATGGAAAGTGGTTTAAAAATTTAAATACCACTTTATACAAGTCTAGATATGAATTTTTTCATGTTAGGTATTGCTTTATTTTGTTGATATTTTCTAGGCTAATTACTTCACTTAAGATTCTGAATGATTTTGTTTCCCTCACAACTTTTCAAATGTCTCATGTCTTTGAGAAAATGTTTGTCGTTTTGAAGCAACAATTACTTTATTATATAGGGTAAATGCACCATATTCCAAATCCAACATCATGGGTAATTCTGATAGGTACTTCTCAACTTTTTCCTTTATATTAAGCTTTGTCTTAGTAGCACGCATGCGTAGATGGTTGAAATGGTGACGTCATACTATTGTGCACCAGATTTCCGCAAAACACTAGGTCTGGCGGGAAAATGTTAAGATCCTCAGAGTGAAAGTCCACGTCACCCAGTGAGAACATCAAAAAATGTGTCAAAGTTGTAGTTGACCTTGCTCTACCAAATAGTGATAAACTGTTTGTGTAGAAAGAATATTATGGTCTGAGACTTTTAAATAAGTATGTGAATATATTAAGAATCCTTTAAGTATACTTGTAGGTATTTGCTGATTTCAAGTGGTAAATGAATTAATAGATGATTAATTTACGAGATGGTTTTAGACACAGCTCGTTCCGAGCTGTGTCGTATTCCGAGACAGCTCACACAGGGCGTCAGAATTCCAACACAGGGCGTCAGAATTACGAATTACTGTTTTGAAGCATTGTCAGAATTAGTCTCACAATATGCCTAATTTAGTCACACACAGCGTCGGAATTCAGCGATTTTGTAGATTTGAATTCTAAAGGCTTTTAAATAAATATGGCAACAGTTTGTGATGTTTCTTCATTGCTGGCATGTAGTGTGGCGTTTCAAGAGTGACATAAAGCAATCAGAACTTGAGTTGCGCATACGGTGATCTTTTTATAGCCATTCATTTCTTGCTATGTCCTTAAAGTGTCGGAATATGGTGTGTTTACCCTAAATAACAGAGCGCTTACCGCTTAATGCGCCTACTGCGCTTAGGCATGCATTATGTGGTTAATTCAAATTTAATAGGTGATGCTGCCTGATGCATAGTGCATACAGAATTTAAAGCCTCAAAAATATGTGTATGCTTTTTTTTTAATTTGTAATTTGATACATTAACAAAATAGATTGTTAAATACTTTTATTATAGATAGATAAATACAATGCAAAAACTAATTAATGACTAGTTAATAATATAAGAAACATTATACAAATGGTTTTACAATTTATAGGTCCAGCACTTAAACAAGAAAGCAAGAGGTATTTGTGGTTTCAATGCTCAAGGTTTGATAAGGTTATTTTGACCAATCAGTTGCAGAACAATGTGACTGGTGACAATCAATCAGACTGAATCAGTTAATGTGGCTACCCAATTCGCCAATTGCCAATGGGCCTGGCCAATGCAGTTGCACATGTCAGTTAAAAGCTCAAAAGACTATCTAGCTAATTATCCAACCAAGGAACCTACAGACCTACTAATGACCAAAACCTTATAACAAGTATCAAAAAACCCACTGGCCACTTTGAGTGAGTGACTTCGTTGTTCTAGCAATCAGAAATACCCTCATAGGCTCATAGCTACGAAGTCCCGTCCTGAGTCCTTTTTTCTTTCGTTCCAGATTTGCGGGAGCCTCTGAACACTAGCTAGTCCAATGCGGCCCTCACGACAGGGTTTTGAGTTATAGTTGCCTACGTAATTTTTCACATGTCACTTTATAGACTTCACAGTTACTCTCAAATCTCAATCACTGTTCAGTGGATCAGTGCGCCACCTACTCGAACTCTTCCTATTCTTAGCACCTGTTGAAGAGAACACGCCACGGCAGAGCCGTGGAACACGGCAGTCCTAAGTCCAGACGTTTTTTTTTTTTGTTTTTGTTGTTAATTTGTTTATTGAGGATGTGGGCCGTTGACCGTTGTCCCCCCATGTCCCTCACGGCTAAACTTTTTTTTTTAAGCAAGCGAGCCAGGATCAATCAACTTTCAACTTAACTACCGGATTAACAAGAACTTGGAAATTATCTCAAAAAAATTCTGAACTAACATTTTCGTTTTTTGAGTTACATATTCAATACTCTATATTTCTAAGTGAATACTTTTCAACTTAAGATAAATTTGGGACGTGGCAAAACTTAAATTTTACTAGGTTTGCAATCGTAAAAGGCATTTTTTAAACGTCTCAACTCTCTTAAACTCTCGCTTCAACAAATTACCCCCTGAAAAACATGCATGAAAATAAATTAATTGAACAAATTATTGGGTGTTAAAAACAAATAAGTTAATTAACAAAGGTTTCTTAATTAAACTAAAGAGATGTGGTGCTCAATGAGAAGCTGGAGGATATAATCACTACCAGTACCAACTCTAGGAATGTCTTCTAGTAATTGCTTCGTCAATTTTCGTAACACATCTTGGGTGATAACTAATTTTTAACATTTTAAATTGTTCTGAGAGATTCAAGTTTTAGGGATTTATTTTTAACTATAATAGTATTCACAGTAACACTGACGCACCTTGGGGCAGGGTGGGCCAGTGGTTAAAATACATAGTATTGTAGCAGAGAAGTGCGGGTTCGATCCCAGCTCTGTGAGCCAGTTTCTGGTCAGAATCGGCGAGGAGGCCGAGCGGTTACGCTAAGCAAAATTGTAGCAGTGAGTTGCGGGTCCGAGACCGCAATAAGTTGGGAATGTTCAGCGAAGTTAAGAATCGGCGACAGGCCTACGGCCCAATAAACGCTGTAACCGCTATAACTAAAATGTTTAAAATAATTATTCATGTTATTTAGAAATTTAGGTAAAGCGTACGAATGAGTTGTTTTCAAGATAACTACATGCATTTTAACCACTGATTATTGAATTTCGGTGAATCCTCCAGACTCCAGAGTCAATTCTTCTGGACATTTGTTTGAATCAAACTTCATCAGTTATACTTAGTGATGTGGCTACAAAAAATCCTAGCGGTCCTAAGTGAGAAAAGAGAGCTTTTTGCATAAAAAAAACATTGTCTAATAAAACACAGTCATTTATAGTTATTTTTAATGCTATTTGTAAACATTTGCAATATTAAATTTAGAGAGGACATTTGAGCTTCCTTCGTAATAATGGCGTCACTTTCAAGACTAGAAATTAAATTTGATTAATCTATTAGTTCAAAAATATCATAGGCATATTGGCTCAAGTCAGCATACTTGAAGACTTGGATTCCTTATAGAAGGTCAATAAAAATATGCTCATGGCTCATGCCCTAATGAATCAAGACTTGAACGTATCAAAGATGATGATTGGTACACGAAAGTGATAAGTAGGATTAGAAGCAAGAGCAATCAATAATAATATGCAATACATGCAATAGTTCTGCACTAATATAGCAGGGTATTATCGTTTTAAATTTCTTTAATGACATATAAGTGAAACTGCACTTGAAATGCTTGTGAATAAAGTTTTGACTTGTCTCATTTCTATCTTTATAGTCCCTATTGCATAAAATTGAAGATGCTAAGGCCTCCATTTAAATTAATGTGTTTTTTCACACATTAACGAAAATTACGGTATATTAGAAAATACTGAAATAAAATTTGTTTACAAAAATAAGATTCATATTAAAAAGTTTTCTGTGTCTCTCGGACGATCTCTAAAGTCCGTTTTACCTTCGATACCCTCCGCCTCTTTTCTTAGACACATCGTTGCGACAGCGGGACTGGAGGTGTTGCCGAATACATGTACCCGGCCTCGATATGAGATTACTTGCTGCTTGGAGTCGTTGTCACTCCACCAAAAGAACTGAAGGAGATTTCGATGTTCTTCGCTCAACTGAAATGTGTGGAACATGCTATCAACCTCGGCTACAAAACCGATTACCTGTTCTCAAAACGGGGTCATCACGCTGCATTGTGTTGTTCTGATCCGGTCCAGACAGCAGGACCGAGTTGAGGCTCATGCCTATCAAAAAATAGTCACTTACTTTACCTTTACGCTTGAGTCACCGGGAAGACTGAAATGTGTCAGGCGGGTTTGCGTTGTGCTTCACAGTCCAGAGCGGGCTCGACGTGCCGCTTCGAGATGTTCTTCCCAATGGCGACGACGCATGCCTCTAATGTATACGGGTCTTTTTGCAGGCGAGCGAGAGACGAGACTTGTCGTCGACGTCAGGCGGCTGCATTATCTGATGGGCGTTGTTCCTCGTCCTTCAGGAGTAGGAGCGCTTTAGCCCCCTTCTTGGTTCACACGTATCTTCATCATAGGGATCAAGAATTGCTGGTCTTCGGGTAACAGCCTAAATCTTCGTCATCTTTGAACTGTGCGAACACGTTCGTCTTCGATTCTGGATCCAGCGTCTTCTCCACTGAGAAATGATCGTGGCCGATCTTTGCAGCAGTTTTTAGCGTGGTCGAGTTTTTCTTAGAAGTCATGGCACCCATGGGGCAGATGAAGCCGAGAACGGCCCAGCCGAGAACCGTGCGATACCGAAACACTATCAGCTTTGTGGAACTGGGCAACAATCTACTACTGTCGCATCCAAGTAATTTAGCGACCTCCGCTGTGGGATCTAGGAGCAAGAATTTCTCAGCAAAGTGAGAGATCTTCGGATGCTTGGCAACGATTTCTCAGGTAGCCACCTCGTTCCTTAGGTCTGGAATGTAATGGTTCACGAAAAGACGTGGCAGGTCGAAGCTTTTCTTTCTGAAACGCCTCTGATCATGAGATTTTTTAAGGAGCGTCCCAACAGGGTTTTGCTATGACTACCGAACATCGCCAATGAGTAAGTGTGTCTCGGACAGGTAATTTTCAAAATCATCAAGAATTGAAGGTTGTCAGAATGAGAAGTTGCTATGATCGTCTATTATGACGTACACTAGACGAGAATGTTTCGAAAGCGGATCGTAGATATCTGCTAGTATTTCTCTTGATATCTCAAACATTCGCGTCGCCAGGAACTGTAGGCAAACTCTGGCAATTTGTTCTTTATAGGCTGCATTCCTAGGAAATCATCCAGAAGGTGGAGGGCCGGCGCCGAACCCATAGCAAAGTGCACTGTTTGGCATAGGTCACCAAATTGCCTGAGTTTCAGTGCTACGCCTGGATCTGACTCTTGACCCCGTATTTCCGGCGATCGGAGGAGCTGATCGTACAGGTGACTGGCGATTTTTCTGCTCGAGCCAAACCTTCTTCTCAATTTGTTAAGAATAGAATGAAGTTGTTTCTGCTGGTCTATGTCTACTTCCTTCGAATACTTCTTGATTAGCTTGTGCGGCTTGCCTGTGGAATGATTGGCCAACACCTCCATGGCTTCACGTGGTCCCAATTGTAACTCATCTATTCTTTGTTGTAAATTATGAAGCCAGTAGTCGAAAAGATGCGGCTCCCCATTGTACAGCTTCTTCGGGGCTTGCTTCAATTCAGCAATGAGCTCAGATCTCAACGAAACTTCCATGACTGGCACCTGAGCGGCATTACTAGCACCAAACTTGGGAGATTCGGTACGTTTCGGTTCTACGTTCATGACGGGTACATCCACGGGCTCTTCTGTGGGGGTATCTTCATTAGCAATGGAGGGAGCCAGATTGACTGCTCTCCCTCCAAACTGGCTTGCACGACTGCTCCGTACACCGTGCTGACCGGCAACCCACTCCTCTACTCTAGAATGAGTGGATCGAGATGTGATTCTCCTGCCCCTGGGAGGTCCTGACTCGCTGGGGGTCTTGAAGCATCTGACCTTGGCAATTAGCTTATTTCGCTGAAGCTCCAGTTGTAAGCACTTGAGCTCCAGCTCAACTCGATCCAAAGCCGCTTCTGGATCATCTTCTTTGTCCGACGTCAACTCGACGGCGGATCTTGGAGGGGTTCTGAGGCGAAAAGACCGCAAGTTAGCTTGTGTCATCTCGGTGCCCATGCAGCTAGCCTTGTCCTGCAAATCACGACTCTTCCGATCTAATGCGGCCTCAAAATCGCTCTCTGCGATCGATAGGTCATCCATCCTGGTGCGACAAGCCAAGGCAGCGGCTTTTGAGTCGGCTTTCTCAGACGTGGCACTTGTTTCCACCAACATCTGATGGCGTGTCAGCATCTCCTCCTTACCTGTCAGCATCTCTTTTGTGGTTCCGATACAGCACTTGGGCTGCATCGCTTGGGCTGAACGGTTGAGAGGAGATTGGACAAGCTGTCAGCAGCTTAGTGAAAGATCTCATCCAACAGGAGCAGTGGAGGGTCTGTTACCCTTCTATCTGCAGTCTGCATTGGCATCAACAGTCGATGAGTGTGATTCGCTTTAATCTTAAACTGCAACAAATTGCAAATATTTTGCTATCTGAGCAAATGATGACATTTGTAATATACTTCAGATTTACAAAATTTCAGCTCACCAATACGAGTTGTTTCACTAATAATGTTTCATGCAAATAGACTAAATAACACAGACCTAGCAATGCAACAGGTCAGGAGAAAGAAGAGGCTGTCGACCTCCTGCTTGCTGTTCACTGGCTCCGCTGTTGCGCTCCAGAACCTCCAACAGTGCAAAGTTCTTCTTCGAGCCACATGAAATGAAGTACATTGAAGCTTTCCTAGCTTTGAATAAAGATTAAATGAATAGATAATCAACCCTCTATTTCTATACAATATTTCAAAATATTCATCCAATTGATACTAATATATGTTTCAATGAAAAACTAAAAATCAATTCACAAGAGCCAAAACCCCATGGAAAGTTACAAAATGGTGATTTCAGCATCATTTTTAAAACACATCTCCAAAATAATGGAGGGCATGAAACATGTAGCCTCATATTTAGAAGAGTACCATACATATAATGTTTAGCTTCTCAATTAAAATAAAATCTGTGAATAATTTCAATGTCGCGAAGGATTTGTACAAAAAATTATAAGATCTTTGCACATATTTCTACCATTCTAGATTACTATATCAAACTAATTTAATTGAAATTTTAATGTAGGAATAGCAAAACTTGTAGCTGAGGTGCTATACCTATAGGAGTAGGCTGCCAATCAAAAGGATAGCATATAACACTAGTACCTACAGTAGCAGCTGTGGTGTTGAAGCTGCTGGATGCCCTGTCAATAGCAGATGTCATTGGAAGTCTCAGCAAGCAAGAGTGACATAATGTATGGCCACAGAACAGCAGATGCGGCACTTTATCTCCACCGAGACTGAAGCTCTCTTCACACACTCGACACTCCAGCTGAAATTAACAAGAAATGTAAATGACAAATACTAAATGATTCAAATTAAGTATTTTGAAAATTTCATAAACTAATTTTTATGATAACATTTTTTATGATTATTAGGATTTTTATGATAAAATTTATATTGAATTACCTGTTTTCCTGATTTCTTGCCAGAGGAAGAAGGTTCCTGAATTGAATGTGTGGAATGACTGCTGGGCACAAGCCAGTGGTGAAGCAATCAGAGATTCTTAAGCCATCCTAGTTTTTGAGTTTAACATTTATATATTACCTCTGTAAATAATATTGCTAGTCTGTAAATAGAATAACACTTGTCAAATGAGTCAGTTATATACATAAGTTTGAGGAATGTAAATTTATTGAAGTTTTGAGTCTCCATATTCATGCTAGACTATTTATAGCTCATCAGAGAAGCAAAAACCACAATAGGGATAAAGAAAAAATAATTCAAGCCATTAAAAACATATTAAAAAAAACAAGTTTGCCATTCACCAAACAACCTGTGTACATAGTGTGTACTATTAGACAAAGATAATCAAATACAATTTAGAGTTATTATAGTATATATTCATATCATATATTGTGCAGGCATGGAATACATCTTCCCCTTGTCTTGAGCAGCGCCAGCAAACAGAGTTTTACCATCATTTTTGGAACTGCAAAATTCCTGCTAGATGAATGCTTAGCAGGATTAATTGCTAGATGAATGTTTAATCTACTTAATTGTAATGGTAGCAACATTTGCTGACTTTTAATTTCAGTTTTTTATTTTTAATTTTTTTTAATTTTAAAAAGTGTACTGGTAATTGGAACAAATAAATACTGACAGATGGAATACTACTTTTACACTCCAACTTAGAGGCTAAAGACTTTATAAGTATCCAACATAGGGTAAAGGCACCATATTCCGACACTGTGTGTAATTCCAACACCCTTCATCTTTTTCCTTTATATTAAGCTTGGTCTTAGTTCCATGCATGCGTAGATGGTTGAAATAGTGACGTCATACTAGATACTACTGCATGCCACGGTGCGAGACTTCCACAAAACACTAGGTCTAGCGGGAAAATGTTAAGATCCGCAGAGCAAAAGCCCAAGTCAACTAGTAGTAGTCAACTTGCTTTACTAAATAGTGATAAACTGTTTGTGCAGAAAGAATATTATGGTTTGAGACTTTTAAATAGTCTGTGAATATATTAGGAATCCTTTAAGAATACTTGTATTTGCTGATTTTAAGTGGTAGGGTAAACGCGGTATATTCCGACATCATGGGTAATTCCATCACCTCTCAGTTTTTCCTTTATATTAAGCTTTGTTTTAGTTCCATGCGTTCGTTGATAGTTGAAATGGTGACGTCATACATTTGCGCGTCAAACTACTGCCAAAACACTAGGTCTTGGCCATCTAGCGGGAAAATATTGAGATCCAAAGAGACAATGCACGCTACCCAGTGAGATCATCCAAAAATTTGTCAAATTTGACAGTTGACCTTGCTCTACCAAATTAATTGAATGACATTGGATGAATTTGATAGGTATTTTATTAATCCTGTTTATATATAAGAATGGAAATGACGCTTCTATTTCAGAATAATAATGGAAATGTTTCTACTATTTCAGAAACTTTTCTTGAATACACTTCCAAAAACTAAAGTTCTGTAATCAATGGAGTCTTTGAAATGACAAAATCATTCAATTTAAAATTTTTAGCTATAAGAGTAGTAAGATCGTCATTTGTCAATATGATGAGCATTCATTCGTCATTCCTGAGGAGCTGTAAGAAAAAATTCATTGTTTTTTATGTAAAAGGATATTTTTCAATTAAAAGAAATGCAATAATTGATTTTTGAAAATACGATGTTAAAATTAATGATCCGTATTAGAATTCATAGAATTCAATAGACGTTATGACTTACGATTTCAGAATTATCTTCAATTATTCGTTTGTTGTCGTTTGTTTGATCAGAAGTTTTTGTTCGTTTGATCACAAGTTTTTGTTCGTTTGATCAGAAACAGAAAAAGTTTTTGTTCGTTTGATCAGAAACAACATAATTATTCATTCTCTTGCACTAAGTATACGAATGATTAGTTAATTTGTAATTCGTATACAATCGTATACAAATTACGTATACGATTGATCAACCCGCTAGAAATGCACCGGGAGCGGCCAGCGGGAAATAAGCTAGTAGGTACCTATTTAATTCAGTTGCAAGCTGGCCCACGTGATATATAGTTCTGTTCGTCTGAACTCTGAATTGCATGTTTAGTGTGCGTGATGTTTAGTGTGCGTGTGTGTGAAACTCTGCTTTGCAGCGTAGTTATAATTACTTAATGAAGTTTAGTTCATTGCGGTCAACTTAAGAGACAAATTTTCAACTAACTAATACTTTTTATAAGTCTAATTTTAATTGTTGAGTGAAAGGTGCAGACTTGCAGCTTCCAAGTGATTAGGTACTTTATAGAAACTGAGCAAGTTAGCGTACGTGTTTTAAGCCTTTAAGAAGTTCATTTTTTGCCTTAAATAACGATGTTGGATCAAAAAAGTGGTCTTGGTGGATCGAAATAATATATGAACATTTGAAATTAGAATTCCATCCTGCGCGGACGGAATACGCCTCACCACGTGCTGAATATAGCCACACACAGTGACGGAATATAGGGAATTGCTAGGTTTGCGTTCTTAAGGCTTTTAAATAAATATGGCAACATTTTGTGACGTTTCGTCGTTGCTGACACGTAGTGACTAGTGCGGTGTTTTGAGAGTCACATTAAGCAAACAGAACTTGAGTAACGCATACGGTTATTTTTTTATAGTTTTTCATTTCTCGATGCGTCCTTAATGTGACGGAATATACCGCATTTACCCTAAATACATTAATAGACGATTGATTTAAGAGACAGTTTTAGACACATACAAACTAATTCCAACACAGGGTGTCAGAATTACGACACACAGGATGTTGTTTACTGTCGTATTCCGACCCACCGGACCCAGCTCACACAGGGTGTTGGAATTACGAATTACTATTTTGAAGCGTTGTCGGAATTAGTCTCACAATATGCCATTGCTGCATTTATGATTTAGTCACACTCACACACAGTGTTGGAATTCAGAAATTTTGTAGCTTTGAATTTTAAAGGCTTTTAAATGAATATGGCAACAGTTTGTGACATTTCATCATTGCTAGCACATAGTGTGGTGTTTTGAAAGTGACGTAAACCAATCAGAACTCGAGTAGTCAAGTTGCGCTGCTTGCGGATACGGTAATCTATTTATAATATACAGCCATTTATTTCTTGCTACATCCTTAAGGTGTTGGAATATGGTGTGTTTACCCAACTAAATCTAAATTGTAAGGTTGACACTTGACAGTTCTCAACCAAATTTTTCTGATAAAATGGCAAGTAAGCAATATAAACCAAATGAAAAATATGAACAAGAATAATAAAAGAGATGCAACAATATACGCATACGGCATTAGCTTATTAGCTTAAAAAATCAATTCGTTCGAATGGCTCCTTCATATCTTTGAACGTTAGCTGCGCCCGGCGCCCGCGGCCCTGCGCAGAACCATGGCCATTGCCGCCACGGCGCCATTACTGCTTACTGGCAAAGTCTGGCAGACTGGCATTGGCATAGCTAATGCTAATACTAATACTTAGAAGTTTGTTTGCCGGCCCATCCTTATATATTGTCATTTATTTCTTTTTCCCCTCAACAAGATTTATATGTAACAGCGGCACCGTAAAAAACAAGATAAGTTGCAGTTATTAAATTAGTTTTGTGCCATTTTGAGATGGTAAATTTTATTTGAAGTGCTCTCAAATGCGACATCGAAACAACGTTACACACGGCCCGGCAAGGGATTGTTTGTTTACGTTTTTCTATCTCAGTGACGTCACAAGAAAGATGCACTGAAAGGTGGAACTTCTCGTGGGGCGGAACTTCGCGGAACCTTATATTGTTTAATGGTAACCCATGGTTGAACTCAACCATGCCGCATGATGACCACTTGTTACACCTGGACTCAGCAAAATTTAATTGGAAAGCATCAGTATTAAAGTATTAATGTCACTTATTTGCTTAAATCGCAAGTTGACTGGACTCCGAAACGTTTCCTATAAGATATGAATTTTTGTGGACTATTCTTTGCTTTTAAATTTTTAGCATCAGTATTATTTCACTGATTCATGATCCGATTTCTTGATTCATGATCAGTGATTTCACTGATTCTGAAACGCATATTTTCACATTTCAAATAGTTCTGAGCTGAGTTATATGAATATACGTGGTGAAAATTGCAGTGAGCGTGACATTTCTTCTAAAGTACTGTACAGATTTGAATTAAATTTTGAATATAAATTTCTCAATACCCGACGGTGATGTTTAGCTCTTGATATTTTTTCCACTTTTGCCTTCGTTCGCGAGTATTTTTTACTTTTGTCTCATTCGTGATTTTAACAGCGATATGTGTTGAAATTCACAGTGAGCGTACGATTTCTTCTAAAATACTAAACAAATTCGAACGAAACTTCGTATATTGATACCTTACCTCTCAACGGTGATGTTTAGCTCGGG